GGGGGGGGGCTGGTATGGCCAATTACAGGACGAGCCTAAATATAGGTAGTGGCTCCCATTGGCTACAGCAAAGTCATCATACAGCCAATCAAGTGCTTCATGCCACACACATTTCTCAAGATCCAGCTGATTTTGTGTATGGGCCATCGCTCCCAAGTGTTGGAGGACAAAGCCCTCCAACACTTTGTCAACAAGCAACGAGGCTTGGGGGGTTGTGTTGAAGCCGTTGAACCGTTGCCATCATCATATTGTTTTCCTCCTTCTTCTCTCTGTATTATTTTCCTTCTCGCATTATTCTCATATGCTTACTTTCCATCAAATAATCATCCGCCGCCATCACTAACCACGCACCAATGTCCGTTACTTCCGACAGCGCGTCAGAGCTCGTATTGCCCGACGTTATCGAAGCACTGCAGCGACTGCAGCAAAACCCGGATCAGCTCGCGCGCGAAAGGGATCAACGCTACGAAGCAACCCCGCCGCCGTATATGGAGTCGCGCGAGGCCAGTCAGCCTTCAAGTCCTTACGTCCTTGGCGCCGTGGAAGAGATGTGGGAGGAGCAGCGGCGGTTACGCGAAATTCGAAACAAGTCGAAGCCGGTCTACCAGTTTAAAACCCAAGCTCAACGCGAGAAAGAGAGGCTTCATGATCAGCGGCTCAAGGAGCTCTACGGCCGGAGACCTACTCTGCCATTTGACGAAGCCACCGACTACAAAGCCAACGCAGAAAACAATGTGCGAGCTCGCTGGGTCGAGCAGGGCATCTGGGGAGAGGAATGGGGTCCGGCTTGGCTTCGGGGCATCCGTCCGTTGGGGGTCGCGGGTGCGCCAGTGAGCAGCTGTGACGGGCCATTTTACAACCAGGCCACTCCGGATCGCCACCCAGGGGGTTCTCGATGGGGCCATGAGCGAGGAGACACTCCCTCGCCATCGCCCTCCCCTCCCCCGACGCCGCCTCGGATTCCTGATCATCTCATTGTTCCCCCCCGGACTAGGCTCCCATCGCCCCCACCTCCACCACCACGTCCTCGCTTTCAAGTCGCCCGAGTTCTACCTGACGATAGCGTCATATTAAAAGTCCCAAAGCCCACCGTGCGCGATCCCGAAGCGTCCCGCCCCCTGCATCAGTTCTTATATCAAGTCGCGAAAGAGCGCGAGTGGATAAGAGACGAGACTGCGTATAAGATGCCAGGCAGGGCAGTCGACCTCGATTCATTAGCGTACCAAAGCGTCAGAAAGAACTGGATCAATGATGGTATCTGGAGCCCTAAGTGGGAGGGCGAACTGCCTGGCCCATCCTGGTATCACGAGGAGCCTGAATCATGGGGGCCCGTAGATCCCCAGCGCGCCCCCCCAACGCGCTGGACTGAAAGGAATCAACGGCCTCCACATCCCAACGCCATTGAGCCTTGGCGACGAGCTCACTGGCATCGACACGCCAGCCCCTCCTCCGCCCTTGATCAGAGCCATCTTCCCGTCCCTGCGTCAGCTTCCGAAGCCAGCAATCATGCTGCCAGCAATACCTCGAACGAAGCCGTTGCTCCTCATGCACAAGGTCAACTTAGCAGACAGGCACGCGATACACTCGCTCAGCAGGCTGTAGCACCCGAGAACGTCCCATCTCGAGCACAAGAGCCTCGCCAGTCGCTTCGAGACGCCACGACAACAAGGCCAGACAACCAAGACGGGGCTGGTCCCTCTAACACCCAAGCTCGACGAACAAGACCAAAGCGCAACCGCAGCGACGACACGGCCGAAAGCGAGCAGCCAGCACCGCTGCCGAAGCGGGCCAAGAAGAGTGGCGGGGGCAAGGGCCGCGCAAGTACAGCGAACGATGGGCCGGCGGAAACAACAAGCGATCCGCGGGAGAACCTACCGGCAGGTAGAAAGATGGGAGCGCAAGGGGCAAGGACAATGGAAAGCAAGAGTAATGGAGATTCTCAAAAGGGGGCCACCCGTCGCAGCGCGAGGATTGCAAACCGGCAGGCTCAAGCTGAAGCTGCGGCTGCAAATCTTGCCAACATGACACCAGCGGCACCGGCAAGCTCAAGGCCAAGAGCCGCAGGGAAAGGCAAAGCTACATCGAGCGATACGCAGGTCATGATGGCGCCGAAGGGTGGCAAGAAGCGTAGGCACCGACGTTGACATTGTTTTGGCAAGAGTTTAGTAAATGTTTCATTAGTTTCAATTTATTGTGCGGTTTTTTGGTCCTATCCCACCCGGCGTGCAGCGTGATCTATAATTCCACATACAATGCTCATCTCAACCGCTCACGCCATTGCTACTCACGAACCGCTCCATTCATCCCGTGGGGAGAGTATTTATCACGAGAGGGTTCGACTGTAGTGTTACAAATAACAACAGAAGATGCCAGACCCGATATCTCACTGCAATAAACATGAAGATCTAGGAAAAGCTTTGCTAGCCGAAGGCTGCAGTCATACGGAAGGAAAGTCGGTAAACCTTCATAGCGATAACCCACTTGCCATCAGGACGAGCCGCTTGTCAACTAAGTATTGAAGCCACTCTCTTCCCCTAGCTTCCTTCGTACACTCGTCTTCCATCACGCCAATCCGAAAGTTTCAACACACCAAGCTGGAGGGCGAGAAGTTGGCTTGGAGGCTGTGCCTGGTGCCCAAGGCCAGATCACTGCTAAAATCTGCTATCATCCAGAAGAACAAGTAGGGCAGCCTGCAGTGACACTGACAGGAAGGGAGGAAAAGACGTGGAAGGGATCAGAGAAGGTAGCTTCATTAAAAATGCTTCTTAACCTTTTAAAACACAATGAGAACACAGTGGGGGACAGTGAGCTGCTTGCCACCGTCCCCCCAAACGGGGGAATCCGTCGCAGAGCGAGGGTTGCATACTGGTAGGCTGAAGCTGGAGCTGGAGCTGCCGTCGCCAACTTGTTGCAAACGGCACCGACAAGTTCACGGCCAGGAAAAGCCACCAAAAACGGACAAAACTACATGTCTAGATGCACAGGTCGCACTGGCGCCGCGTAGTGGCAACAGGCGCAGGCCTCGACATAACAGTGGCAAGGGAGTTTAGCAAATGGTTTATTGCCAAGGTAATGTTATTAAAGTTATCGATTGATTCCCTACCATGGAAGTCGAGCACGCTTTCCTCGTAGAGGGAGGACGCAACGGCGTCGATATAGCACTAAATCATGCAATGACACTCGTGCAGAGATCCGTTGCTATTCTATCGGGTCTCTGCAGCCCCTGATTTTCCCAATTCTCCATCGCCTGCTCAAACAGCACCGCCTGCTCTTCCTCAGCCGGCATGGGACTAATATTTCCCCTCCCCAGCCGACTCTCCACCGTCTCGGTGAGCCTGGCCTCCAAATCTGTGTCATCCATCACGTCGTTCTTGAATACATAGGACCGTGTCTCGCAGTTCTGCCATCCCGTCCCAGGGTTCAGCCATGAGTCCTCCCAATCGTCGGTAAAGTAGTGCAGGAAACCCCCGTGCGTGACGAGCGCAACCTGGGGGTCAGGATCGCCTTGCACGATCAATTCGCGGATCTTATGTCGGATGAAAATGCGGGTGTCGCGGGCGCGGGCTGCTATGGCGTTGCTTTCCGGGCTGTAGCGAGTCCCCAAAGCTTTCACGTTCCAGCCGTCCTTGACTAGAGAGAGGTCGACGGGCCACTTGCTCTCGGCTACCACTCCGCGGAGGGTTGGTGGATCGGTGCCAACGTCGCACGGGTCATCCGACGTTTCTTGAGCGTCAGGGATGGCGATGATCTCGGGGTGGCACTTGCCGCCAGCCGTGAGGGCCGGATGGAACACCAAGTAGGCAGACTGGAGTGTTCGGCAGAGCGGAGAAGCAAGGATAAGAGATACATTTGACTGATCTGAGAAGGCTGACTTGCGCAAAACCATGCTCTGCTCTGCGCCCAAGGGAGTCAGGTGAGGATTGGGAAGAGTGTAGCATCCGGCGCCAACGTTGTGAAAGCCCTGTCCATGACGGACACAATGTATCACTGGTGGCATAGTGAGGTGTGTAGAAGTAGAAGAGGTTTGTTTCGTAGGGATGTGGAATGCAGAATGCTGGAGGGAGTCTGGCTACTGGCAAGATCACCGTTCATGTATGAACACAGATCTGGGAGCGGCAGGATGAAGTTGAGCATCCACTCATCAAAGCGATTAGAAATACACCCAATAATACTCCTGAGTGAGCCTGACCTTAAGCTGACAAATGCTTATCAGGTCCATATGGAACCAAAGCTTCCACGTAATGTCAAAAGATATCCAAGTTTCCATGATCTCGAAGGGCGCCAGTTTCGATTCGACGAGGATGTGGATCTTGCCCAATCGCGGAGAAATGTCAAACCAATGACGATCAATTGTAACTAACCCCAGATAGGCAGCCAAGACGGGATTTCTCCACAAGCTAAGGCGAGCAGCACTTTGATACTCGTCTGGCAAGCTTTGGACGGTGGGCTCAGGCTATCAAATGTCCGGAAACTCACATGCTCGGATGTTCTGATTACAAATGTAGTAATAATATTGCAAGAAGATTGAATAAGATCTCTTGCCCTGGGCTTTTCATAGCCGGACCGGACATCTGCTCGTCATATCCAGTGGCAGATCTTTGACAAACAATGGCACACCCATCGTTACCTTCATCGCCGCCTCGGCCGGTTCCTAGCAACGCCTCAGCAACACCAACTATACTGTCGAGAGAATTTAGCCTCGGGGCTCCAGCTCAAGCTGTGCATCCCTTACCCTACGACAGCTCTTCACCAGACCTCCACGACATTGCCGAATCAACACGCGCAGTTGACGAGTCACTCCAAGCACGAATCGAACGCCTCGGCCGCGAACGACCTCCGATCTTCACAACCCGCCGGTGCGAGATACTCTTCGTGTTCAGCATATCCATGTCCCAGTTCCTGACAGAATACTTTGTCTCGGGCTTCACCGTCATCCTCCCGACGCTGATCAAAGAGCTGGACATCCCGCAGGCAGCCAGCGTCTGGCCGGCGACCGCCTTCTCCCTCGTCATCGCCAGCACCTTGCTCGTCTTCGGCCGTCTGGGTGACATGTGGGGGGGATATCCCGTCTTCATGTGGGGTCTCGCCTGGCTTCTCGTCTGGAGCGTAATCACCGGGTTCAGCATCAACCCGCTGATGCTCGACTGCTGCCGGGCTCTGCAGGGGCTGGGAGTTGCGGCGTCCTTGCCCACCGGGGTCATGCTCATGGGGTCGCTGTATCGTCCCGGGCCACGGAAGAATCTCGTCTTTGCAGTATACGGCACCTCGGCGGTATTTGGTTTCTTTGGCGGCATTCTCGTGGCAGGGATCGTTGGTGAGTTCAACCGCTGGGGTTTTTACTTCTGGATCGGCGCTATCCTGACCGCAATCACGCTATTGACTTCGGTCTTGTCCATCCCTCGTCCTCGCTCACAGGACAAGCCCCGAGGCAAGGCCAAGATGGACTACCCCGGCGCCATCACCATCGTCTGTGGCCTCGCCCTAGTCGTGTTTTCCATCTTGCAGTCAGCACACGCCCCTGCAGGTTGGCGGACGCCATATATCCCAGTCTGTCTCGTCCTTGGTGTCTCGTCGCTCCTTGCTGCAGGTTACATCGAAATGCGCGTCTCCGCCCAGCCCCTCTTGCCAGCTTTCATCTTTACGACTCCCTGCATGAGCCCTCTCCTGTTGGCCCTCTTCCTGCTGTACGGTACGTGGGGGATCTTTTCCGTATATGGCACACTCTATTTCCAGAACATCATGTCTGCCAGTCCGTTGCAGGTGGTAGCGTGGTATGTGCCTCTCGGTGTCGCGGGCCTCATCCTCAGTGTCGTCGAAGGCTTCATTCTGCACCTGGTTCCAGGACGCGTGCTACTCATCATTTCCGGCCTAGGCGCGGTAGGGTCGCAACTTCTCATAGCTCTGATTCCGCCTGGAGGAGCTTATTGGGCCTGGATCTTCCCCGCCGTCATCTTGAGCACCGTAGGAATCGATCTGTCCACGATCTTGATGACGGTTTTCGTGACCACGACGTTTCCCACAGCGCAGCAGGGGCTGGCTGGGAGTGTCATCAATTCTGTGCTGCAGTTAGGCGTAGCTTTCGTCCTTGGTCTGACGGACATTATCCAATCGGCAACAGTAGAGGAAGCAGGACTGGAGAAAAGCTATAAAAACACGTTCTGGTTCGGGGTGGGTGCTGCAGCCGCGAGTTTGATGATCCTGGCAATCTGGGGGAAGGTACCCAAGGCCAGTAGTGATTTGACGGCGGATGAGAAGGCTGAACTCCTGGAAGAGGCAATGACTGAGCAGCAAAGGCAATCAGCCAATGGGGGCGTTAGCCTGAGAGATGAATAATGCCACATGTAGACCTCTGCTCACGAGTTGTTGCTAGACCACACGATCTTTAGCTAGTGATTGCCCCGTGATTGCTCTCACGATTGTAGTAGTTAGCTATCAAGCCCCGGTCAGTGGGTAATGCTTCTCTACCACCACCATGATAGATCATCCGTAAACGCGTTATAATCAGGCAATCAACCAGTCGGTGCCTATGTTCTGTAGCTTCTCAATCCAGTTCCAATCCTCTTCCTGTTTGTGAGGTCGGTCATTACTTCTCTTGACGGCATTTTCATTCTTTCTTCCATCCCAGATCGTCCTCAGTGCTTCGAGCGCCTCCCTGGTAAGTCCCCAAGGCTCCATTTCCCAGAGCTCTTGGAATCTCCTCACTACCCAAGCACGGTTCGTAAGCTCGGCCGTTTCCAGTCCAGCAATGAAAGCTGGCCACGCTGTCGCTGTGAATAACGCATCTCCAGGGTGCATATTTGAAAGGTGGATGATTATTTCTGTTGCCAGCGTTTCCAGATCATCCGGCAATACTGTGCTAGGCCATAGAGTCAGAATAATGCGCGAGAGGTAGATGCATACAGCTGCCCTGTGTGCAGAGGCAATTCCAGTCCGATGGAAGAGATCGTCCGCCGGTGAGCGTGGCTGCAAATTGATGGCCCAAACGGCTGGGTCGAATGACTTCGCGGCGTCTAGGAGATGAAATGCGTCCTGTAGTCCTAAACTCATCACGCTATCCGGAGACGTGGAAACTTCGTTCCTCCTCAATAGCTGAGCGCCTGCATGTATCAGAGGGAGAAGGGCTGCCGGAAATGACGAGCAATGGTTGCCTTCTGCATCTTGAAGCAGTGACATGGTAGTCGTCGATGGCCAACCGCTGTGCGGTAGATAAGAATTTGCGAATGATGAGCCGAGAAGATCATACCTACTGCACGTCAGGTTGGGAACCATCAATTACCGAACAGGACGACTTACACCAAGCAATTTGACACCAACCAGCTGCGAAGCGGACTCAAAGCAGTCCCCGTCGCCAGGGTGGATGTGATCAGCTTCTCAATGATTAATCTCGCACCATGGATGTGAAATATCCAGCTGCCCCGCCCAGAGTCAATGAGCTCGAACCCAACGAGGAGAAGCACCACCGCGAGAACGACATCAACATCGGCTGAAGCAATGTCTTCGAGAGCAGACTTCAGCAGACAAAGTGCTTGCTGCTTGGCCCTAAGCGCGTCATGGAAGGCCTCCGGGTGAGATGTCATACATGGAGCGATCGATGGAGAGTTCGGTAAGCTCGTGCTGTTCTGAGTCGATGCCATTGTCGTAAGTATGCTCGAAGACCTTGGTGAGCGTTGACTAGCGTTTGACATGTGCAAGGCTGAACTGGCGATAATCGTCTGCAACAACATGGGCTGATGGTGCGCCATCGGGATCAACTCGCGAAATGGATTATGGTTGGGAATGTCATAGAGAACAAGGTCCCTACAAACATCACTTGCAACTTTCATCGAGGAGTGTTAGTATGAAGAGAGTGCAGTCAGGCGGATGAAGGTAGCCTACAATAGTACAAATATCGCCTCGATCGATAGTCTAGATCTTGCGCAAACGGGTCTCTCAACGAACGAGGTAGCGAGCGAGGAGGGCTCGGCTCACAACTGGCGAATGGGGATTGCCTTTGGGACAAGATAGAAAGCCATGGCGCTGGCAGAGTTGAGGTCGTTGTATCTCCCTTCTGGATCTTCCTTATGTTGTCAGACGTAACGCCACTTAGTCTCCCACGGCTCGCCATACCCTTCTCCCACCGCCACAGGTTGCCATAGCCCAGGCAACTTTGACCTCTCCTGAAGCATTTCTGGCAGTGCGGGAGGGATCGGTCGCATTTCAAGCGGCGGCGCCTGCAGTTGTGGCATGCTCCCGGCGTTGCACTCATGGCTAGGCTCCAAAATGGGATAGATGAAGGGCGACAATCACAGAATGGGAAAGAAAGACGCGTGTGCGTATTTACGTAGAAAGGGGATCATTACATGAAGTGACGTTGTGCTGAGAATAGTTTCCAGGGCGGTCAAATAGAGAAGATACATGTAGGCAGATCTAACAAACAGGTAGGTTTTTGTATCTGACGGTTGCTTGCGACGCGGCGGAGCCCAAGTCACGGGACATCTCACGTGATACCCTTCCTTCATTCAATGAACAAATAACTTATCCATGGGTAGGCCCTCGTTGGATAATGAGAAATTCAAGTCTCCTATCAATTCCGTTTCAATTCATAGCCTCTAGCTTTAACGAATCGTCACATTGGTTTTTCAGATCAGCTGTCGTGGAGGTACTATGAGAACTTTACCTGCGCGTTGTCACAAAATCAACCGCTAAGTACCTACTTACTGTGCATGTGCTTCACCAAATGAAACCACCTCCAGACATCCCCCAAAATCGCCGGTCTTCCTGCTTTAATCCACGTCATAAACAACACAAGTATGTGAAATATGGTCATCAACCATCCCATTAAAAAGGTCAAGGTGTGCCAACAAACCGTCTCACCTACGACTCCCCAGTGTTTCAAGTTACACTAATCATGAACAAGCTCGTTAATTTAGCTCTTAGTGTACCAAATTGATTGATTAACAGATGGGGCCTATATCTAGCGTCTCCTTTCTTGTTAAAAGCCAAAGTGGACATATGGAACCCAAGAAAGTGGCAACTCCTCTTCTGGGATGAAGATCATGTCCCTTGCCAACCCTTCCAAAGACTCTGTCCGATGGTAATCAATGCTGTCTCTTTCTAGACTCTTTGACATGCGCTTAGCCGCTCGAAACTCATTTTCTGTTACCCACTTGGCACGAAGCTCTCGGACCGTTCGATGAAGACCCTCACTCACCGAAACATCACTCATATCGTGGCCCTTCATCCACTGGTAAGTAGCCCCCGCCACGTCCACACATAACTCGTCATTAACCTCCCACATAGTGCCAATCACATGTCGAAAGCCGGCAAGTTGGAAAGCACTAATAAGATGAAGGGCCTCGTCGATAAGCGCATCATGATTCATCCGCCCGGTTCCACACGCGGATAGATACGCGAGAAACGGCATCCGGGTCCAGAGATTCATCTTCAGGAGAGTTGATACAGTGAGCTGCTTGCCACCGCCACCTAAAAGCAAAGAGCTATATGAGGGGTCTGATGGGTGGGTATGGCCATGGCCCGCAAAATGGAAGATGTCGCAGTCCTTCAAGGCCGATAGGATGTACTCTAAAGAAGAGTCACCTCCACCTACATGGACCTCCATGGACCCACAAATGCTTCGTACCTTGTCGATTTCCCCCCGAACGAACGGGAGGTTCATGTGACCTGGCGTCCTTTCCATGCCGACGAGGAGGATCTTGCCTAGTTCTTTGAGATGCCTTGCTGTAGAATGGTTTTGGTAGTTCTGGATGAGTGCTTGTATAGAGGAACTGTAGGATGAAATGACCCGATCCAAGACTACTCGTGACGATCCGTCGACATGATGCCCTGCTGCGTGAAGAGGGAATTTGACCAGGCGTCCAGTAGGAATCCACCACATACGCGGCCACTGGTCCTTTGGTGTCTCCGTGAATCCAAGCACGTTGAGAATGGGATCTGCAATTACATCCCATAGCCAACCCAACAGGTTCAAGCTTACTCCGCGAAATCTCAGACCACCTTTCCTCAAGGCTGGAAGTTTCAATGCTTTGATGCCACTCTTCTCCACGATAAGAGCATGACAACCGTAGTGGCTGACATTGATAATGACAATCGGTCCCATATCAGCGAGGGCTTTCATTTCATCTTCAGAAGGGCCCATCATGAATCGACCGAACTGGGGAAGTTGTCTAATGGCTTGAATCGTTCGCTCAATGTTCTGTCCAGCCTCATATCGCTGATTGAACCTATCAGCGGACGATGTCGAGGCCTCCAGTTGATCTCGATTTCGACAGTACTCCTCTGCCAATTGAGGATTCTTCACTTGAAGCTTAGATATATCCGTGCGTAGTTCCCTCAGCGACCCACCGAGTACTCCACGCCCAAGTTCCAGGAGTCGAATGGCCTCATAAGGGGGTTTGCCTGTCTTCAAGGCCAGTGCGGCAGCATCAGAGGCTATATCGGCCAACTCCGTGAGTAGATTCTGCTTGTCTGAATTCTCCAGAGAGCGAGGCGCGAGTCTGGGAATCAGGGAAATAGTCATTTGGGCCACTTCCGCGGCGAGTGGCCATTCTTCACATTCGACATGCAGGGCGTATAGCTGTTTCCCTACACGAACTCGGCTCGAAGTTGGGGATGAGGCATTAGCAAATGCTTCATGCAGGTGTTGTAGGATCTGCACTGTACTCGGTGCACGCCCTGACTCCACAGCTTGGTAGATAGTTGCGATACAAAGAGAATGGAGGCGTCTTGTTCGCTCCGGTACATCATTTGCAGTCGCATCCAGCGCTTCTTGAAATAGGTGGCATGCACTGTCTATGTCAGTTGTTCCTTTGCTTGCCCCCGAGTCGTACTTGAGACAGTGGCTTTCACCTAGAGAATGTAGCAACTCTCCCCGTCCTTTATGGTCGCTAGGCATTGCATCGAGGGCCCTTTGGTGATACGCAATCGACATGTTGATCCATGTCGGTGCTCGCTCTTTACGGAACTTGGCTTGATAAGCTAGACCAATCGAATGGAGCATATGAGCCCGGAGCAGGGGAGTCCGCGATTCATTAAGCGCATCGCCAAAAAGGCTGATGGACATATCGAGATCCTTGCTGGAATTCAGCCTCAAGTGCCTCTCATACAAGACAGTTGCCAGAGCTTGCAATCTTGTTGCTTGTTCGAGATCGCCGTTTTGGGTCGCCCCAGTTACGTTTTGGAACTTTTCAAAGGCTGCTTCCAAGTCCGCGATTGCATTCAAGCGTTTGTATCGAGTGAAGTGCAGATCCCCAAGGTTAAACAGCCGATTCGTCCACTCTGCATCATCCGAGCGCGTGGAATCGACTGCTCTCTGATGATGTTGGAATGCTAATTCCAAATCCTCGATCGTTCCGGTAAAGTCATACTTGCTGCGATAGGCAGACCCCAGTGAGTGTAGGCGATCTGCGAGGAAGGAGTCACAGTGCGGTGTTGCGTTTACTGCTTCTTCCAGCCTCACAATAGCAGTCTCGAGTTTATCTATCTTACCGGTTTCGAAATATAGTGACTGTAATCCTTCTCCGAGAGAATGCAGCCAAAGTGGCCTCACGGGATGTCTTTCTGGTTGCCTCGCGAGTGCCTCTTCAAATAATCGCACAGCCTCTGCTATTTCCGCTGCCTTTCCCTTCTGATAATCGTGACTCAAGTGGCCACTCAAGTAGGGTCTTGAAGGTAAAAAGCTCAGGTATCGATTCTGGTGCTGTTTTCCGAGGGAATACAACTTGTCCGGTTTATCTGTGTGGCCATCTGGTGTTGCGTCAACAAGCTCGCGACCCTGCGAGATGGCTGAGTCCAACTCTGCATTTCTTGACTTTGTCACATCTTCCTCATTTGGAATCACCCCGACCTGCTCTTCTATTATGCGTCGGAAGCTTGACCAGTCGCTCTCCAAGTAATCACGAACCTCTGGACTGTTGGACATGATGCATGCTCATCCCTCTAAGCAGCTGCGGAGCACAAATCATATGAGTTTAAGTGTTTTGATTAGGTCTATCAAGGAACACATCATTACTGGCCCATAAATAACTCATTAATCATTCATAACACCCAGGCTGACATGATTCCCCGCATTAGGCTTCCCAAAAGGCAGATTGCTGAAACCCTGCTCAGCGCTTATCCTCTGGACCAGCACCCCGTCAAGAACAATTTTAACTCATCAGCTTACTATCACAGACTCTCAATTTTTTGGCTATTCCGAATCTTCAAGCAGCTGTTCGATACGCGATATTCTCGACGTAATGGAAGAGAAGACTAGACCTGATCCCATTTCTCTTTTGAGTCTGCCGCCTGAAATTCAAACCAAAATCTGCTCATGCCTAGCCCAATCATTTGAGCAATCAGCCATTAATGCATTGCTCCGGACCTGCAAGCAGCTCCATGAGATCGCACTTCCGATTTCCGTGAGCTTTTACCAGAATAAAGCCTTCAGTTTCGATGACTGCGGGGCATGTTCCCGGGCCCGAAATGTGCAGTTCTTGCGATATATTCTCATTCACAAACCTGAGCTATCTAAATATGTGAAAACCGTCATCTTGGGCAGCTTTTCGTCGGACAACCCAAAGTTCGAGCATCCCAAGGATACAGCACACCCGAGCGACACCAAAAGTACCCAAGCCGAGGTTGACGTCTTTCGGGAGACGATACAAAAGAGGCTGGGACAATTCGGCCTTGAGAGATTTCCTTGGTATACTCCATGGGTGGAGGAATGGTTGGATGGTCTCGCACAGGGCACCACTGATGCTCAGATCACTCTAATTCTGCTCATATGTCCTGAAATCCGGGCACTATTATTTGAGCGCCCCAGAGGAGCTCGGATTTTTATTCGCTTCCTATTTGTGGTTGGTCTTTTATCAAATGCAGTACCTGGAGAGCATTACCCTGAGATGACCAGCGGTGTTCCACTCTCGAATGTACAAGACGTGTATCATGAGACAAACGCCGTAGACATTCACTACAAGGATTTTGCTTCACATGCACAGCCTATCTTTTTCCTACCTCGCCTCCAATTCTATGAGTGCAATCTCGCTTTTGGAGGTGACGGAGACCCCCACGGTCTAACGATCCTAAAACCGAAGTCTTCCCCGATAGAGGAGATTATTCTGCGTGCCAGTGCCGTCAGTGGACCAATAATTTTGGCCATGTTGAAGGCCTGCAAAGCTCTCAAGAGACTGGAGTACACACAGCTCTGTACAAAGACGGCTTACAGGAGCGTAAACCCCCAGCAACTTGCAGAGGCTCTACTGCTTCACGCCGACACACTTGAGGATCTCTTCGTCAATTTTAACGACCTCCGTGACAAGCGATGGGAATGGGAAGACCACACTGATATCCTGTATATGGGAACGAGGTTTTCCCAACTGCATTCTCTTAAGAGACTTACGATCAGCATGCAGTCTATTACCGGAATACTCGCCGGCCCTCCTGCCACGAATACCAGTTCACCTCAGATGCCACTCCGAGTCGAAGAGGCGCCCAGTCTAATTGAATGTCTCCCTGAAAGCCTTGAATATTTGAAGATCTTGGCGTGTGGAGAAGAATTCCAGGAAAAGGCAGCAGAGTTGCTAAGGACAGTTGAGAAGCGGCAACGCTTTACAAAGCTCACCTACATTGGCTTCTTTTTCAATCGTTGGCTAATGAAGTCGGAGATTGATCTGCGCTGTGGCTTGCCGAGTGTGCAGTTGGACATTCGCTATCAGGATCGAGAAGAGTACGGTTATGATTTGGCGCCACTGGCTCCGAAATGAGGGTTTGGCGGTCTGCGCAACCAATTATCTCGTATTTACAGCGCAGATGCTAGGCAACAATATCTGATGGGTCGTGGACTGTAGTCTAGGCATCCAAACAATGAATCTCCTCCAGAATAACATCCAATGATTACGGACCAGGGACGATGAATGGAGGGGTACTACGTCTTCATTTTGAGTCGTGGCGCACAATATATCAGTGTTGATGATCGGAAAAGTGATAGACCTGTCTTTTATTTGCGCCCAGTCGTTCATGTCTAAGGATTATTTGTGTCAATTTGGTCGCCTTAGAGAACCAATATGAACTGATGAATAGAGGAGATCCTGAAAGACTTAGGTTGAGCCTTTGCCAGCGTCAGTCAAGTGGGTCGGCTTGCATAACTACAATTGTCCTACGAAAGAAGCCTTTAACACCAGATCCAAATATCGGCGTTTATATAGAGTTCAATATCTCATTGGCTTCCTGCTACAACTGAGTGTCGCCATAGGAAGGTGAGTTCTGGGCATCTTGACTGCGCGTGGGGCGGAGATTACTAACCCGAGACATGCTCCTCAAGCTACAGTTACTTTTTCCTATGTACCTTCCATCGAGGAGCCGATCGATGGTCCAAGAAAAAAAAACATTGACCCCGCCTTGATCACCACTTCACCGTTCTTTACACGCAGCTGCCAGCACCGTCACCATGGTCTACACAATCGTCGTTCACCTCTACGCCAAAGATGACAAGGAAGCCATCTCGAAACTAAACGCCAAGCTCATCGAAGCCAGTCGTGTTTATTCCCAGGACAAGGAGACCATCTCCTGGTTCGTCATGCAGAACCACAAGGACCCCAGAGCCTTCACCATTGTCGAGCGCTACGAGCAGGAATCGGTATGATTTGTCAATGTGGAAATCCTTTTCTCCAATCTCCCTTTGCTAACATGACATCTTCAAACAGAGCCAAAAGTACCATCTCGAAAACCCCTACTGGAAAACCTTCGACCCCTATGTTATCCCTCTGCTTGAGAAGCCAATGGATCTAAGGAGGTTTGAGGAGCTGGATACGAGCAAGCCTGTGGAGGTTCCCCAGTAATTTAATCTCGTCGCAAGAATCCTATGCTCATTGCTATATTCATGCTGTGACAAAAGGCAGACCACCATCAGCTAGTCGTCAGTCATTCAGTCAGCCCGCCTAGTAATCTCACTGTCGGCCTGTACAATTTGATTCCAAAGTCCCATTGATACCCTTTCGGGATCCCAGTCCCATCTACCGTCTCCCTCCGTCTTGAAATCCGGTCCGTCCTTTACCACTGATATAGTGGTCATTACAATGTCATATTGGAAACGGTCGGAAAAGCAGTGACGAGAAAATCGAATCGCCACCTTCTCAAGGGAAGATTGTGCGCTGACTTCGCGAAATTTGTTGAAAATGGCCCGAGCCAAGACTAGAGTGTTTTCGACATTGACATTGGGAAATGACTTGCTACCCATCACGTCATATTTATTTTCTCCTGCGAAAGCGGACGCTTTGTCATCCAGATTGACGGCCAGCCGTATCTCCTTGAGACGATCCATCTTCACCAATTCGTCGATCGCTGTGCTTTCTTGCGGCTGGCCGCGGTCGGAAGAACCAGTGGCCTCTTCAAACAACCTCTCAGCTTCCCGAGCGCTGATATCCACAGTCAGGTGCGTGAGATGGGGAAATCCAGCGACGATCCTTCTTGCTATCGCTGGCGTCACGGTAATGAAGTTGTAATATTCAGGTGTCGAGTGAAGCGACAAGCTCTTCAAAGACTGTGCATGGCGGTATATCACAGGCCAAAGCATAGACACATCTTTCTCGAAGTTGTTGATGGACAGCTTATCGAGTGAGTCTATAGCACTGATGAAATTATTGGCGATGCTCAAGTCCCCGCCACAGCCATATAAGCATCCATAGAGCGCATCCTTCGCATAGGTCGTTTGCAGCGATTTTATCTTTTGCACCTGCTCAAAGTTTTCTCTGAGCAATTTTTTCATCAAGCCTCCCGGGCAAGAACCGTAAAAATTGACAGTTCCAGAGCCAAGATCCATTCTGGGTGACTTAGACTGAGGCGTAGGTTTCAGGTGGTTGGTAGACAGAGTAAATCTGCAGTATGTGTCCTTCGAGGCACTAGATTTAATAATTGCCACGTTTCAGTATTGATTTATTGCTGCTTTAATACTATTGAGCTTTACCGTCGAAGCGTCAAGTTTTGCGAATGAATAGGCAGCCTGTCGCTGTGCCTTGCCTTGCGCTGGTGGCTGTGCAAATCTGCCCATCTGGTCCCTGGTCTCGGGCAAGTCGCGGGCCTGAGAAACCTGGCCATTTCTGCACCTTTCGAAGAACAAATATACACAGCAAGGCCATCCGCTGCTACTGTCTTCGGTTCGTCGATATCAAAGTCATGCCAACCCTGAATAAATTCTAATATGCTAATCAATGCCTTCTTTGCAGCTTCTTCCGGTTGGGTCGTCTCGATCTTATTTCCAGTGATTCGCCAGACATGGTGAGGAATGATGACAAGCGCAAGGATTAATCACCGAAACTAGGACTTGGTTAGTGAGCCCGGAGGATACCTAGCAAAGTCGAATAACTCAGAAATTGTTGAGGGCTTTCTTCCAAAAGGCTATTAAGCGGGTAAATTTCCTCGAGTCCAAGCATGGATTTCATGTTGTTCTTGTTGTGGTGATCCTGCGCGCCGCATTTTGTAGAATATCGAATGCCAAAGTAGGGAGGCAACTGGGTAGTAGGAACAAACGGCTGGGCATGGAGGTGCCCCGCATCCGACCAATGAGAGCTAGTTTTTTTCTCTTAGTTTTGTTTCTTGCATATGCCATGAGAAATCAAGCCCAAAGGAATAAATATTATTCCACAGCTTCCATTCATGGGGCTACCTACCCTATAGTTGACTCAACCATTCAGAGATCCCCCATCCCAGCTTTAATACATCTATTCCACATCATACCAGATTCGGACAGTAAATTTTAATTTTTTTCTTAATTTTGATTAAATTCCATGAGAAGAAGGTTTGTTGGTGTCTGGCATAAAAGCGCCAAGATCGCCCTTACCAATGTCGTTAGGGTACCTACTCACAAATCAGTGTCTTACGTTTTAATACCGTACAAATATGCCAGCATCTTGTCCAACCATAGTCTCAACAAAAAAGACGTCTTGCTCCAAGGAAAAAAGGGCAACCGATTGTTGCCTTGCTTATCTTCGAAACCATCGAACCAAAAATTAATTTTTAGGAGATTTTCTTATTCCATTAGCCAATCTCAACGATCATAAGCAGTGGAATGAATGAAGGGACTTTTACGGAGCAAATAATAATTAAACAATTTCCAGAGTCTTGGAGGTCTGAATCCCAGTGTCCAGTAACTACATTGTAGCTCTCATATCTTTTAGTTATCAAACTTAGAACAAGTTTTATTTTATGTTAATTAGATACTATCAGCCTTCCGAGGTTTCTACGACGAAATCCTGTTCGCCTTGTCTTGCTTCGGTTGAAACATGGTAGGTAGTGCTACTGAGTCTCGTGTATTTTTTTTTGGATATTTTTTTTTTCAGTGACGCTCGTTTCATTATGTGGTGTAGTTGTCCGGAATTAATGATACAGCCGATCCATCTTCAACCGCTGAACCTCCTGACTCTCCGCGAGAGCAATATAACCCGTGTCGAGATCAGAACGAACGTCTCCGAGCGTAACCTTGACGTTTCTCATCGCCCTTGACCTTTCCAGTCCATCCCAGTGAGAAGCTTGCTGCTCTGTTGCCCTAATGTACGGATTGTCTCTCGTGAACGAAGACACGTATCCCAGAATATCTGGCGCCAGGGTGTTGAACATCAAACTGATCGATGATACTGCGGCGAAGAACAGGATGCAAGAGATGAGGATGAGAAGAGCGGCAAATGTCATATTGCACTTGTATTCCTCTCCGACTTGGTGCGTTATCGTGGTTTCGGTAGTATTGAAATCCGTAGGGGCAAAATTGGGAACCGCGTTGGTGATGTTATTGTATAGGCTCATATCTGCAGTCAGATTGCCATACACATATTCCTGCCCATAGGTCGACTGCCAGTATGTGTTGAATAAGACTTCGAGGTTCCTACTCAGCGTTGGGAGTGGAAGTGCAGATAGATTAGCAAATGAATACGTGCCCTCCCCATACACGTTCGTGTAAGGCTTCTCGAGCCACTTCTCAACCAGAGAGCTGGACATTCTAGATCCATGTGATATCGATCCAACGGTGATTAGGGGCAGAAAGACAAGGGCATTTGAAACAGCGCTGTAGGGTACAAACGAGTCCTGGTCGGCCGCGACCTTGCGAAGAGATTCGACCTGGCAGGCTCGATTGATGCAAGAGACCGATGATTCAACATACTGGCCCTTTAAAGAGCATTTGAGAAAGCTGCAGTCGGAGGAATCATCGCTGTTCATGGCCGTCACATTGAAGTCGATGGAGTTATCAGTGACCAACAAGGTACCTGTTGGACGAGTAGGCTGGACAACGAAATTGGCACCTTTGCTATAAACTGAATAGCCAGCGCCCACGCCATCGGAATTGTTCTTGAACACGGTGGCGTTGACCAAAACGGATGACTGGGTGCAGTCAATGCCGAAATATCGGCTGACCATGTTGAATGAGGTGTTGCCAGAGGCCGGGACGCCAACAACGGGGATCCCCAGCATCGACGAGTAGGAGACTTGCTGGCCGCGGTCAATCGTACTCCACACATTCTCCTCGGCACCAGAGGCAACCACCGGCACTCTGACATTGCCGAATAGATCCATCGTTTCGTTCTGCTGCAACTTCGACGTTGTCAGCCCTGTCATGAACAGCGACGCGAATATTGGCCAAGTTGAGGTCATCGTGCTTGCGCCCAACATGGCGCTTTCACGGGCTGCTGCAATCGGCAGGTATCGGATCGTCGCGTCTATTGTTTCCTTTCGGGGCACTATAGAGAGCAGTCTCAGGGCTGCTTGCCCCCCAAGAGGCGAAAGTGCCCATACCAAGATCATCGCGAGTCCAAGCGCATATTGGTCCTGTAGCAAGATCTGCCTTTCCAAGGTTGCGAAGAGAGACTGGGAGCCGATGAGACGCTCCAAGACTCCGATCTTGATTCCACGTTCAGCCCAATACAAGCCCAAAGCCCGGAAAAAGTGGCCGACGATTCCAGCGAAGATGATTGGGAATAGCGTAGGTGATGCAGTTATGATTTGCTGCACGACCTTTCCAGCGTGGGAAGTCTCCTTCTTGTCCAGAGCAATGGCAGTCGCGGCGAGTGCAATGAAGAGTATGGGGAAAATGGCCAAGAAGATATGGCCAGCCAGGGGAAGGTATTCGAAACGTCGCAGTCTCTGCGGTTTTGTGTAAACGGTGTGGAAAGTCGTAGGCTGTTCTTTCTCCATCGAGGGCGTTTTCGAGTCGCCCTCCGTCTCCTGCAGATGGGGGTCTTGTGGAAGCATCTGGATGAACTCGGGGACTTGGTTAGTGGGCCGCATCTTGAACCGTTTTGCCAGCCGCCTCAATAAACGCGGGGGAGTTTGGAGAGTATCTCTCTCTGAGATCGAAGAATCGGGGTTTGGATCACGACTTGGCCAAAATCCAGACAAGAGAGGGGAGCGGAGTTAATAATCAACAACAGCGTCCTCAAACAAAGCTTGTTCAGGGACCCCTGACCCTGCTACATTTAGCTGTCAGCAATGGATGGCCACGTACGAGCGCATGGTGAGCCGGCTTTCAAACGGCAATGGTCCCCTGCTTGATCCTGAGGGGTTTGACATGCATTGGAAATTGTTGGCTTTTAGCGCGGCAACATACTCTGCTAAGTAGGTGGAGCGTGTAATTACACCAAAGAGAAGAACATCATATGGAAATGAATCCTAAAGTTACGTTTGATATAAACACTCTATGCAATCAAGGCAGATCTGAGTCTACAAGTTGAGAAGTGAATGTGAGGTTCATTCACCATGGCGGCCCAATCAAAACATGGGTTGAGAGCAAGGCAATAGCTTCAACGAGTGCTTACTTTTTATGGGTTGGCAGTGGAGCCTCAGACAGGGAATGGCTGGCTGGTAAGGCTGGTAGGGGTCGCGTGCCAAAGGCCCAAACCTGATTCTGAATCTCATAATTCCGAGCCTGAGCTATTTTAGGACCGGGGATTGCCGGACATACGACTCAAGCTGCCCTTTTGCTCTCATTAATATAATAATGCCGGAGTCTCTTTGTCACCTCGCCACTCTGATGATTCAAGAACCGTACCTCAAGTGTCATTCTCTCTACTCACGATGGCGTTGACAGAGGCCTAAATTTCACTTCCTCCATCATTCTAGAACGCTTACGTATTTGCGAGGTCCCACATACTGAAGTGAAGAGACCACAGGGTTGTATACTCATAACAGGGCGTATTTAATATTGTCTTGGGTAAGCCCTACCGGAGAGTGTCTAGGTCAACTAGGTTCCGTTGAGAGGCTGCTCATAAACAACTCCATCGATCGTAGTAGTAAGACTCCCCGTCGCATTGAAGATGTTAATCTCAGCATCAATCTCCAAAAAGAAACCACCCGGGCTAGTCTTCTTCGTGGCATTTACCACGCCCGTCTGCACTAGGTCAGAATACCATTCCACATGGTTAGTCCAGTAATTCGGCGGCGTTACTGTGACCGTCACATCTTCCGTCCCATCCAGAAAGTGCTCGCCATCATCCGAGTAGCTGGAATAGTTCACCGCCACCCTTTCCAGGCCGTTGATGCTGTTCTCGCCACCAATAATAGTGACGTGAGCGATGCCCGACTCTCGGCCCTGGAGAGTGTAGTTTCCAGGCTCCACTGCATATTGTAGCGGGATGTCTTCCTCGGATGTATATAGAATAGCCCAGGGAATGACATCTGGCACCTGGAAGGCGGGAGGGACTTCCACAGGTGCTTTATCCAATCGGGTAGCGAGCATGAGGCGGTACTCGCGACCACCATCTGCGGTCGAGACTGGGCAGGGGAGGGGATTGACACCACCGCAGGACGGAGAGACGACCAAGGCCTGCCAGAAGGCGATCTTCGTGCCGTCAGGAGAGAAGCCAGGATCCGCTCTCCCGTTCCAGTTGGGATCGTTGATGCTACCGTTACTACCGTCGCCAGCGGCATTGATCCGCTGACCAAAGTAGTCGCCGCGGTCACCGTATCGATCTATCAGTATGGGCTGGAAGAAGCGACGAGGTCCATTATTCCTAGTCGATGAGGCAACCGTTACGGCGACCAGGTCGATCAGAGGCGGGATCTGTCGCATACCGGACATGAACATTTGGCGGTCAGTCCCCCTGGTGTCCATGACCACGAACCACTCATTGTCACTAGAGTAGGCCATGGGGTCCGTATACTCGGGGTGGCTCGTGAGACGACGCACGTTGCCAGTAACGAGATGGACCGCGAATACGTCGATGTTGTTCGACTCTACAGGCGAGCCGATGTAGGTTATCTCATCGCCTGTGCCGCTGAAGCCACGTAGCTCGCCGACTGTGATTGCATCATCGTGCAGGTGCAGTTCTGTCCCATCAACCTCAATTGGCGGCTTTCCGTTTGGGTTGGTGAGGACATATACGTTGACCAGCTCATACCTGGCAACTCCCTCTGCTGTAGCCGGAACGAACTCGAGTTTTCCAAAGTAGCCAAACTGGCCTCCAAGGCCCGTGAAAGCACTCCAGCCGAGATGCTCGCCGTCAGGATGAATCCGTAGCTCTCGCGGGCCCGAGCCGCTGCCATCTGCTTTGGTGTTCCAGTGAATGGGATAGATATGCGTCTTCTCAGGCGTGCAGCTATCACTATGCAATTCTTCGCCTTCGCAGTCAACGATGTTATGACCCCAGAGGATCTTGTTGTCGCCACGGAATCCTTGGGGGTAGTCTCGCTGAGGATCCAACGAGACAGCATTCTCCGGGGGCACAGCGCAGCTCACGCATTTCCACGGATCACCATTCGAGAAGGCGCTGCCGTCCGTCTTAACAAGAATGAGCTGCTCGCCTGTGTAGATGCTTGCTGCGTCCGGGGCGGCAGGCGCTCCGACCATGACAACATTCACAACGATGTGGTTGCCATCCCTTGTGAAACCGCCAGCCTGAAACTCGCCGACTTCTCGGGCAATGCACCCAGTTCCTTTGGGGTTGACGTCTGCCGTGCAGGCACCTTGGCCAGAACTGGGTGCTACCGGGGGCAATGGGAGCTCTATAACGTTGAAAGACTCTGGCTCTGGAGGCTGAGGCACGTCGGCGAGGATCTTGGTGGCGCCCAAGATGGCTGACCAGACCACGAGAGTGCTGCTTAAAATCATGTTGGGCTGCCAGTAGTGCTCAAGGATTGTCGTGATCAAAGCATGTCTGAAGTCCACGGTGTACATGCTTTTATATATGTACGATGACATTCCGAGCCGTCCGCCTCGTCCGACTTGCTCGGGGTGAAATCTACCGAGGCACGAGAGACAACTCAGACGCTCAGTGCCTTGACGCTCGGGAGATTAGCATTGTTCACCGCATTATGACGCGTGGAATGCTATAGTAGCTCATCCCCGCGTTTGTCTACAGCTGCAGAGTAGTATTCAACCCTAGCGCAGACGGTCGATCCGCGGACTCGCTTCGGTTAACTATGCGAACTAATGACTTATCCGCGGGTTCGCATACTAGTACTGCGGCTGAGCAAAGGAGAATCTGAACTGGGGAAAACCTCCGAGCATCGGTTTGCATCTCCCCGCATTATTTTACATCTTTGGAAGCACGGCCGACGCGGGGGATCCAGTGACATCCCCGGAAAACGCATCAGGATTGAGCCTGGAAAGGTTTAGACGCATGGGACGGTTTACTTGTCAGGTCTATCCCAAAGCATTCCTTAGTAGCCTAAATTAGATCACACGGACTGTCCCTCTTTGTTCCCGATCTTCCCCACGGGGGACCTGGCTTTAGATTGCCGTCCCATCAATGGCCTGGGCTTCATCGAACCTCACGATGGAAATATCAACCACGGCGTCCAGCTTCCATGCCTAGAGCAGTTTTATTGGTGGCGGCCGACCTCGCGATATCCCCTCCCAAGCTGCCAGATATTGAATCACGACACTGGCTAGTGCTTCAATATTCTTTGGCTTCCTGGTCAAGTCGCACTCTATCTTGGTCCTCGCGTTAATTGGACAGGGAAGAGTGAACACGTTGGTTTAGAACGGCGAGACAAACGCAGTCGATAGCATGCCTAAGAGCGCCTCCCTGATCAGACTGCTAAAAGCGTTGCTCTTGATGCGCTGGCCAAAGGTCAAGTAAGGACCGGCTACGAATAATTGACACCTTGGGACGCTAATGATCAGAAGTTGGCTACGATGAAGGATATAGGCGTTCTCTCGAAAGTAAAAGAAACTAGGATGACTAAAATGATCAACCAGTACAAGCTCTTTTCATCTTAGATAAAGAAATGAAATCAGATTTCTGATATTCCCATTGATTAGCCTTTGACCTTTGAGCGAGCTTGAAGGCTTGGGAAATGAAGCAGTCAATCACTCATCGGCCCGCACTCCAAGACTGCCGATGCGCTTTTCTAAATCTCGTACATTCATTTCCATTTTCGGTTTAAATTGGAGAGCAAGATGCCGATGCTTACTGGAAGTGTGGTCCCAAATGGTCTAAAGCGGAGAGCAGGCCGATATTCTTCTCATGGCCCCAACTAAGCAATTTTCTGCTACGTGAAGAGCCTTAAGCTTCGCGAGATACAGCCAAGTCTGGAACAGGCAGGAAGAAGGAGAAAAGAAAAGTGCTCCGCTTCGCCGAAACTCCGATGCTGAACAACTCATCCATATCGAAGGACAGGTCGGTTTCAGTTACTGGGAAACTTATATATATCCCACAATCTAGCCTAGCTGTAGCATAACTCCAATAGACATATAATTGTCCTCCTGACTTCAGACAAACGGCCATATCTCCCCCTTTCAAAGACAAACAATCCACAATCGATCGAACAAGAGTATGTTGACCACTAGAGTACTCATCGAATCTATTGAAAACAATGGAAAACTCACTCACATTTGATCAGTGTCAGGAATCGTTCCCATCACCGTAGTTAGGGGCGCTGGCGCCGAATTCATCCCGATTCCCGAGAACTCCTGTGCTATTGTTGCCGACTTCCATACCACCCGCACCAAAGCCACCGAGTCTCCCACCCATATCACATCCGGGTTCTACAAAATTACCCCTGGTGCCCCACGGACAGCAGTCTACGATTATGAGGAGAGCAAGTATGTCCTGAATGGGCAGATTGACATATTGGTAAGCTCTCCCCGGCTTCTTCATACAGGGTTTTCCCTATACACTCAACGAAGAAATTGCTAACATGGCGCTCAGGACGAAGCGACCGGTAAAACCCACCGCCTAGTCCAGGGAGATTTCGCTTTCTTTCATGTTGGTTCTAAAGTTCAGGTAAGAAATCTATTTTTTTCCCTAGATCCTTGAGCTATCTCATTTCTAATCCACATCACCTTAGTTTTCTACAAAGTCAGCTGGTTTTGCCTTTTATGTTGTGACCCGGCCCGTCCTAGTCGCACACCCCAATCTTGAAGGTCGAGAGGAGTAGCATTACAAACATGGTGAAGACTAGTGTCCAAGGCAGGTTTCAACACAACTTGACGTCTGAGTCAAAGACGTTTTGGTTAGAGCATTTTCGTCGCGCTATGCTTTCACGCATGTATAGAGCCAAGTCCGTCAGCACCATATTCCTAGATTAAAATATGTACCAGCTTTTAGACTGATAAAACGAAACGCACCAAGGTTACAGGTTTTATCCCGACCTCCTTACAGACAAATAGGGCATCAGATTGCAGGTTTTAAGATAGCCAGCGTCAACAGCATACCTCGACTGCTGCCCTGTATTTTATGCATTTTGGGTTCATTAACAACCCATCAAGGCAGCTGTCAATATCCACTCAAAACTAATCGTCGAGTCCACGACAGTAGCGGCGGCTTCGGCTTGCAAATCCTGAACCAACCCCGAGAATGGCGTAATCCGCGTCAGTCTCCCCTAGAACGTATTGTGCGGGTTTTCTACATCCGCTCATATACACCAGGATCAGCATGGGCGCTGGATGGATCTGTTGAATGTCAAATAGCGCTCCGATGACATCTTACTCGGCTACTATCGGACCAAGTGGAGCAAGAACCGGCGCAGATCTAGCGAGTCAGTGGTTCGAATCATGGACGAGAAGGGTCCCTGAGCGGGTAGCTACGGTGCAATACATAAACAGGGATCATGGTAGCTCTGATCTGCAGCCTCCTCCACCAGGCGCAAGGTCCCGCCAGGGGCTACTGAGTCATTATAACGCATCATCATTCAACTTTCCCCAATAGCTGCCATGCACAGAAGTGTTCCATGGAAATTTCTGCGGTGGTACTCCATGGGACGATATTGGGGTACCAACCCCTGTTTGATCCCCAGACGAGCGGATGAGAAGTCGAGATGGAGAATAAGGTAACTTTTATGTAATAACAAGGGTGACATGCCAAAGCTAACATTGATAAAATTGCTCATAATGGAACTTGAAGGAGAGACTACCAAGTAGGTAGCCATTCTATTGCTATCCTTCTCCTGTATGTCATCATAATTGTAAAAAATAAAGTGTACAGATTTTCAAGCTTTCACTCGGAAGGCGTATGATCCTAAACAGAGTTGGAGTTATCCGCGCAGGACCAGGCTGCCGATCCGCCAGACGCTTTGTATTGTGCGTTAATTTCCACAACGGATCCCCAAGTTCCAACAATCATGATGAAGGTACCAGCTAAAATCACAAAGCAAGAGAAGGCCACCATGGCGTACCATCTAGGGGTGCGTCGAGATTTATCCGTGGTCCAGTTGTCGTAGATCCACATGCAGGCCATGGGCTGGAAGGTCATCAGCGTACCGAGGAGGGCTCCGATCAAGGAGATGAGCGTGCTGAAGACAGGGATGGCGCTGGCAATGATGTACCCAACGACTACAACGCCAATGGTACAGCTGAACCAGGTCACCCAGTGGCGCATGCTGTTCGATGACAAATGGGGGGTTCCACGCAAAAGACGAACGAAAATATACTTGGCAGCCAGCTAGACAAGGAGATGAGGTTAGCGCGTCTCATCAATCGATGAACCGGATGCGAGGGAAGCTTACGTGAGAGAGAAGAATGGTGGAAACCATGACGCCTGGAATACTGATTCCATATGCGACCTTCTTCATCAAAGGACCAGCCGAGCCCATCGCAGGGCTGGAAACGTAGGAGCCGCAATAATAGTAAACAACGATACCAATTACCAGATATATGGCCATAACGAGACTCAAACAGCTGAAGACTGCCCGTCCGTAGTGCTTGGGCTCTTTCATCTCAGCAGCGAAGCTAAAGCAAAGACTGACACTAGCAAAGGCGAAGATCAGGCTGGAAACAGCGGTCGATGCCTCCAAAAACGTGGGCGTACCGAAGAGCTTGTAATCAGATTCCCAGTGCCCAGTCTGCGGAGCGGATGCTGGTCGATCCTGGACGCCGACGGCAATGGTGACGGTGAAGACTAATCGACATGGTCAGCTGTCACTCGTGTCACTGAGGGCGATGATGAACCTACTGGCTGCAATGATGCTGAAGAGGCCAACCCAAGCCAAGATCGTGATTCGCCCCAGTGTCCGAATGCTATTGAGGCAGATGGCGACCACAGCGGCTACCACGACGAAGACCGCAGTGCAAGTACCATGAGTCGAGACGGCATTGAGAGCGATGGAGACGCTGAGCAAGCCAGAACCTGTGACAAATACCCAATCTTGCATTTGTGAAGCATTAGCTTGAGGTGTGCACATAGGTGCCTGGAGGAGAAGGGAAACCAAGATCACCCGGGAGAATGGACAGGATAAAGTGAACAACAAGCTTACAGAGAAGAAACACGGCACCGAGTATTTCTCGTCCCACACGACCGAACATTTTGAAGCCAGCATCATCAATGCTGTACACATCAGGGTGGTTGAGCTTGAACTGCCCAATGACATACGTAGTCCAGGTGGCCGTGGCACCAATCGCCAGTATGAGAATAACACCAGGAATGAGACCCAAGACTTGGAAGGCAGACGGAATACCCAAGACTCCAAGCCCAATGTTGCTCTTCGCCATTAGAATCGTCGTAGCAATCCATCCCACACTTCGGTAGTTAGGACCGTCCTCAGTCACAGCACCGAAAACGGCATCGTGAGTGACATCGTCGCCAACACCAGGCTTGATATTGGGCTGGCCTAATTCGGGATTTTCGGTCTTCTCGGTCTTCATGATGGGCTTCTTGGATGCGTTTCAAGGTTCGATAAGAAAGTGATTTGGAAAGGATAATGAAGAAGAGGCAGCCCAAGGGAGAAGAAAAAAACAGCTACGCCTGCGATATTAAAGCAAACTATGACCAATCCCCCCACATGTTGCTCCTCTGCTTTGCTGGAGAAACCGGACCCTGGCAAAGTCGTTCTAGAAGCACTCCACTATGATTCATGGGCTGATTGTAGTTTGAACGCGATGAACGAGCGGTTTTCGTTCCATGGTGTCCACTTGTATGTTTTACATCTTAATCTGTGCGGACGCTTGCGTTGAGGCGAATCCACCCACCACCATCCCTCGGCGGACGCATGCGGAGAAGGACTGGAGCAACGCACGCACATTGATAATTTGGGGCATGATGATTGAGAATCATGCCCCGGAAGGCAATTAATCTTGCTAGTGGGCCATGATCTACCAAATTCATTTGTCATGAATCAAAACAAGTAACGTGGTCTGCCATGGCATGGGGATACGATGAGACTCCCCCCTTTTCTGACTTAACTTTTCCCTCCCCCTTTGCTCCACACCTTCTAGAACCGGCATTTTTCATCGAAGAAATTGGAGAAAGAGACAGGGCACTTACTCCGCACTGATTTGGAGTGGGAAGTTACTGGGATTGACTTTTACTGCCCAATGACTACACCCAGTCATCGGGAGATATGTCGGATAGCTATTTGGTTCTCATTGCACTCATTGCAGTGAGCAGGGAGAGTTTTCCTTCTGCACAGCTGCAGTCCGGAGCTAATAGAGCTTAGTCTTGTAATCTTTCGTATTCATTGTGTTGAGACGTCGGGTCAGGCATCTGCATTGCTGTTTTTGACTTTGTACTTAAACTCTCTCATCTCTATCTTATCCCGCAGTGAGCAATGGGAAACAGATAGTCCTTATCCAACAACAAGGGTCTGGTTCACGAACTACGCAGCGATAGTTCTAGTTACATCGGGGGAAGCTGCGAGGACAGGTGTATGTGTGTGCGTTCGTGTGTTTGCGAGAGACAAGTGGACTTGTATTTGACTGGCCTGGCTATTTATTTCCGTCCCGTCCTTGCTCCTCTCCTCCACACATTGCTACTTTTGTCGCTCCACTGACCATCAGCTACGTTAAACTTTGCCTTCGAAACATAAAAATAACTCACTCAGTCAAATCAATCGACTCTCGCACGTCGCTACCTTCATCGACACACTCAAGTCTCAAACATCCCACCGAGCCTACCCTTGCCAATCTCGCCCGATCTGTTCACACATACTACACATACGCATCTCGCTCGCTCTAAAAGAACAACAAAATGGCAAAGAAGAAGTCAAAGCAAAGACCGGAGGTACTAGCAGTAGCACCTATTACGAAGGGTACCCAGCTGGATAACCTAGAAATTACAAGCCTTCCTACAACCGCCTTCGCAGCACCTACGAGCTTGTGATTGCTTGTGCTGACTTTAGGAAGGCTGGTAATGTCTAGGGCTGGGTACCCTTCATAATAGGTACTACTACTATTACCTGCGGTCTTTGCTTTGACTTCTTCTTGTCATTTTGTTCAGAGTATGTATGGTTGAACAGATCGGGCGAGATTTGTTGGCAAGCGCAGGCTCAGTGGGATGCTTGAGACGTGAGTGTGCCGATGAAGGCAGCGACGTGCGATTCTGACAAGGAGTCGATTGATTTGACTGAGTAGCGTTGTCACTTGACTTGTCTGTGATAATGACGGCAGCGATTTGCGAATAGGCGGAATGTCGATTGCAGATTGACTTGAGCTGTGCGGTTCATTCAGGCCAGAGATGGCGGCCTTTAAACACATGAAAAGCAGCATCTAAAGGTTCATGAAAGGAGTCATGCCGACGAAAGAGTCATTGCCGGGCACATCCTTATATACGGCTGGGTACGGCTATTATTGGTGTTGAACCTTATGTACGGCCGGGAACGAGCCTCGTAGCCGGGCAAAAAGGCTGAAGTTTAATATGTTGTGATACTGGGTATAGTGTCAAGTTGTTAAATTCTTGGTGTTTAGGATTTCCCCCCTTTTTTTTTCAGCTGCCGCATAATTGCAAAGCTCTCCCATTTACTATAGCTAGTTACATCGCCTCGCAGTCCATGCTTTTGGGATTAAAGTGTTTGTGAAGTCGAATTAATTGCATCTTGACAAAAAAGAATCCAGCGCAGCGTGAAAGTCGTTGAGATAAGACACGGGCCGTTACTTACAGGTCCAGCAAATGTCATAAAAGAATATTCTGAGGCTCATGAAGCGAGCGCAAGATGTGGCAATAACGGGAAATACCGAAGATAGTACCCTGGCCCTTGCCAGCATCTTTATGCAATTATGCATATTAGAATCCTTCAACTTGAGTGACATCTCTTTCTCCACTCCTTTGTTTCTTAAATTTGAACTGCCGAACATGATCCCAAAATCCCCATTCCCAATACACCATCAGCGAGGTGTGCTCGGCACTTTCACATATCTTGCTGCCGCCATGCCCGGTGCTCCACGCTCATGTGGTTGCCAGACGTGCAAAGATCGCAAAATAAAGGTGCGTACTGCTGAAGAGGCTCTGTGCCGAAGAGACAGCCTGGTTCTGGCGAGCTGACGCTTCCATCCTGGGATGAGCAGTGTGATGAGACTTGGCCCGAATGTGGTAATTGCGCGCGAAAAGGGGCACCATGCCCAGGGCCAACTCAATTGCTCAAATTCATCACGAACCAAGACCATTCGACCCCGCAGAGTGTAATACGGAGAGCTGGGTATCTCCGGAAGAGTCAAAATGCCGCCCAAGCTTCTAGTATACAGCTCCATCCCCATTCATCAGCCCAAAGTATCTACAAACCCACTTTAAGAGGACCCAATATAGGCACCCTTCGCCCTGCTCTTGTCACGGTCGATGACGGTGTTGCTGCTCGTCTGGTTGGCCATTTGGGAATCTCCGGAAAAGACCAGATGATTACCCAAACCGAAATTCTCCGCCACCTTCCAAAGAGAATGTCGGCAAACCAAAGTCTTCGTGACTCTGTTGATCTTCTTTGCTCGGTCTGGTCAAGCCGTCGCTCAGGTAGAGCGGCAGAGGAATTCATAACCATGCCGTTATACGGGAAAGCAATCCGTAGCCTCTCTCGGATTTTAAAAACTGACCAGGCTTTCACCATGGAAACTTTAGCAGCTATTCTGATTATGCAGCGTGCAGAAGCTTTGTTCGACCCTGGACACCGCCCACTTATCCATTCCAAAGGAATTGCAACCCTCCTCGCTCGCGTTGGTGCTCCCAAAAAAGGTGACAAGTTCCACGCCAGTGTCTTCGCCGAGACATATAGCGTTATGGTATGCTGCAATCCTATTATTGTCTCTTGTCATCTATGCTCAATTTCGGTCCTTCCTTTTACCAATATCATGGCCAGGTTCTCCCACATGTTTCTACATGCAGCCGAACCTTGATAGATTGCATTTCCTGTTTCCTTCTTTTCCCATACTTTACTAATCAGAAGTTGTGCAGATACCATATTGGATGATGACGGGTTGGGATGATCTTCTCGAAAAGCCTCCGTGGAGAGACGCTGTCGTCAGAGGCTTGACTGAATACACCGGAGTGCCGGAGCTCAAGCCATATTTGGATACAGCCTTCGACAAGAACAACAGGATATGCGAGAAAGCGCCAGTGTTGATACAAGGTATCTTAGCCCTTTTTAAAGATCCAGAGCACAAAGAGTTCCCTGCTACTTCGCCATTTGTTCAGCAGATGACAGAAGAGTTTCGCACAGCAGAGACTTCTGTAAGAGAGGCCGCATATGCCATCTTTGACAAAGCAATGAAGTTGGGGGCAATAATCGAGGAAGACAAGCCCACGCCTCTTACCAGTACAAGCTACAACTTCTCCTCAACCCACCTGGCTCAGTCACTGGTCTCGTATCTCTCCTTTCACATTTACATATTGCGTCTTCGTTATCAGTGGAATGCTTCATTTCAACTTCCAGACGCTCCTGATTTGTACAAAGTATTCCAAGACGCCTGCATCAGGATATGGAAATTTGTTCCTTTTATGCAGAAAGCTTGGTTGTTCCTCCTACGACATCTACAAAGCTCTCTTGCAATTAGCTTTGAGGCAGCAAACCAAGAAGAGAAGGACTATATTATCAGTATATTCGAGAACTTGGATAGCCATGGCAAAAAGGAGTCCAGAACTCGTGAAGAGCTGAGAAGCCAGCTGGAGCAGCAGTCTTTATTACTGCAGATAGAGTGGCGGTAACGGACTCGAAGTGAGGGCGAAAAAAAAAAGGCAAACTCGTCGCCATCTTGATCCCGCTCTGGCTGTCACTGATAGTATGAAAAAAATTTTCTTGTGCATCTCTGTTCTTTAGCCTTGCACTGCACTGGCCTTCATCACCAGATGAAATCCATCTTTTGTCATGAAAGACCCAGCAATTTTATTTCTTTTCATTTGCCAGCTCATCCTTGATATCTAGGGTTTATTAGTGTGGAAATAAGACTGTAGAGATAGCACGTAGATCTGTCCAAAGGAAATGCTTCCCGCAATTTCGTTTGAGATAGCCAGCTTGCCATAAAGCGTGTTTCTCTCCACCATCGAGACCAACTCATGCGTCGAACTTGCGGATTTTATGCTTCAAAATCCATTACGCCGAGGAGCTCTACCCCCGCCAGAAGTCATACCGGTGCCTGATATCGCGTCGAGTATCATTTGTGTCCCCACAACTCCCCTGATATCGGCAAGAATCTGGCCGCCTTACCTGCTCTTCTCGGAAATGTTTGTGGTCAGCTGAAAGCCATTCAACCTTGTTATTGTCTCCAACTACCTCGTATATCAAATATGCTTGAGGCTGGGCTACCTGTTAAGGTAATCCAGTGGACACCGACACCCAGAGACTATCGAAGTCGCCGGACCGTCTTTACCCATGCAAAGCTCTCTTCGCTGCACCACACAGACAGCACGGCCATCTTCCGAGACTTCTATGACGGTCATGGCCAATATATTAGAGATAGCCACTACAAATCCTACCTATGCGTTGCACGCGAAACCGGCGGCAAAAATGCTTACATGATTCTAAACACAAAGTTGCGCAAGTCATACGGTGAATTTACACGCTATATTCGCCTTCGGACACCCTTTGTCTAACAATCCCAAGTCGACTCTAAACCTAGCTCGTTTCCCTCTTATCCTGGTCATTAACAGGCATTGCTGCATGAATCGGATGACTCTATTTAGTGCTGACTCCAGCGAACCGCTACTTGGCCCACTCGATGTAGTACGGCTTGGATGCCTTGAATGCAGGGTCATGATCTACTCCAGGAACAGGATATAGATCTACACTGCCCTCAGGAGAAGAAATATATATCGGAATTTTCGATAATCTGCAGACGCTATCTGATTGCGGGATCAATGGAAGAGATGAGGATACTGTGTCACTTCTTTTTATCATCCATTAACGCCCAGCTGTCGAAAGATGCATCCTCCCATTTCAGCTCAGACAGATAATAGTCGGTCTTAATCAATCCGATTACTACGGTAAGTACGAGGTTCACCATGCATCATGCACGGTGTCGGAGACGAACGGCGCCATGTGACGAACAAAATCTTCCCCGCTCGAACAAAGGTGATGGGGTTGAGAGGGAGGGTTGCATTGACTTCTTTCTGACACGAGGGTCTCGAAAAATCTGACTGGTTTTTGATGAAGAGCCTGGTACCTGGGTCTAGTATCATTTCTGACTTAAAATCATGCCATATTATCCACTGGAAAAATCACTGTTTCTTCACCTTTAAATATTCAGAGCAAAGTCTGCGCCTGATAAGCGCAGAGTTTCATACCTCCAGGAGCACTTGATAATAAGCGAGTTGCGCATTGTGGACAGGCCAAGATTGAGCGGGTCATCTTGACCATTGACTATTGAATTTGGTTCATAGATTTCCCACCTCCTTTGGCAAACAGTGCACTAGCAATAATCTCTTGGGACTTCTGGCGAGCCAGGACGTTGGACCTGACCGGCTATTGGTAAAGGAGGGAGGGAGAATCCATGCAGCTGCTTCGGTTTATTGAACACCATGATGAATTAAGTAAAGTCAAAAACTGTAATAGGAACGAACTTGCTAGAGAAATCATTATTGTTCCTTTTCCGACGATATCAGCTTACCGTGGCATTACTCATACGAGGTGCCAACCGGTATGAAAATATTGAATGCTAGAAGCGCCACATGTAACACACACTAGTCACTCTCTTTGTCCTACTTGCTTAGTATGACAGAGTCATGTGGAAGAAATCACCTGGCAGTAGATCGTTCTAACCTTCTGAATTAATACAGTCAATTGTTGTCCGTCCCTCAGCTAATCCAATTCCAATGGTCTTGATATTTCTGTAGCGTTGGTGGATCTTCGATCAGGAAGTTAACAATGGGCAAATCAATTTTAGCACACCTTATTTGTCTACCTTAATCTAATTTGTGAGCCTCTCGGTAGTTGTATGTCTATAATAGCAGAGCTCAGCCTTGTTCTCCCAATCTACCAGTATATTGCTCAACGACTAGCGCAAGCGAGTCTGTCAACGTTACACTCGTTTCGCAACATAAGATCGTGAAGTATCATGCGCTTACGGATTGATATTGTGTCTTACAAGGTAGAGGCCCCAATTTTCCATCAGTGAAGCTGAAATTTCCCAGCTCTGTCCGAAGGCAGGGAGATCGGATTGGTGGTACCAGACCGGCATCGCGAACCTCCTCATGGACGAGAAATTTTGACTCCTCGGCTACAGCTGACAAGTAACAATACGGGTTAAGCGAGCTCTCTGATCCTGATATCTTGTAGAGGCAAATTCACCTATATAAAGAGCTCCTGTTCATACGTCTTGGATTTCGATTGCCAGTCAAGAAACAGACAAGCCTCAAACAATTCACTCCGAGACACTAGCAACTTCCCACAACGGCCACTTGATTCTTCAATCATGCTCTTCTCTTTTAGCCTCGTCTCTGCCGTCTTTGGCATGGCTACTCTTTCGAGCGCTATGCCGTCCAGCCAGCTCATGCCTCGAGCGGCGGAGCTCTCGCCTGTTGTTGTCATCACTTCTGAGGGTGAAGTCGAGTCGCATGCTAACGCGACTGCGCTTGGAGTCGACATCTTCGGCCCCATCCCCGATGATTATACTAAAGTAGATGACCACATTGTTGCGGACCCGGGTAGCAAGGCCTATGCCTGGATCCGTGCTCGTATCGATGTGGATTGGGACAAAGTGTCTGATGATGTCAAGGTCGCTGATTACGCCAACATTGGCGTTGGAATGTGGACCTCCACTGGCTGTAAGTTCTTTTCTTCACCCTTTCCCTTAAAAATTCGAGCTGCGCCTTTGGGTTGACGGACAAGTGTGGACTAATTTGTTTTGCTCTTCATAGGCAGCGGTTCCGTCTCCTATTGGAGCAACATTGAGTACAACCCTTGGTTTTACTGGAATTATGCTTCCAACCTTTACTCTGTGGGAACAGACAAGCGTGCATTCAGCTGGAGGGAGCGACTTGATCTCTACCGGCGTTCTGGTTCTGACCAGTGCGGTACCTACACTGAATATGTCCAAGGACCTGCGGGACGTAAGTTGACACGTCTTCCCCAAGCCAATAAAATTGTCGTACTGATAATTAACTTTTACGATAGCCGGATGCTGGAACGGTGGCCCATTCAACTGCTTCAGCTTGAAGATCATCGCATAAATCCATGTGGTTTGTCTAGGGGTTCGTTACCTCCCTAGAGACAAATATCGAGCACATGAGGAAGCATAATCTACTGCCGCAGATATGCCAAGTTTCAGACCTTCTCTTTTCTTCTTGTTTCTTCAAAGATCCTTTTTCAACAATAGGTCTCGAAGACATTAAATTTGGAAGTATTTGGCTATATCTTAGACTAAATACAAGCTCTTCAAGAAAGTCTTGTTGTCCCGTGACACATGTGATGCGCTTTTTTCTCAACCATCCCTGTAATTCATCTATAAAGAATAGATCTTAGGTTTGGCTGAACAATTTATATCATTCCAGGGTAAAACTGCTATCTTAAGCAACGTAGTACTTCTATTTTTTTTCGTGTTGGCAAGGATTGGCACAAAAGTCGCAATCCCACTCTGCGCAGTGACCCAAATAGTAAATGGCCGATACTTTACGCCTCTTGGTATGGGCAGATGACAATATCCCAGAGGAAATGAGCCTGATGCTTAATATAGCCGTCCCCCGCCTTCTCTTTCTGGATTTCCCTCTCTGATTTCAACTACGAGCGACTAGACAGATGGTGCGATGGCTTCCAACCAAGGCCCAATTGCGGCGTGCATGTGAGGGCGCTTATTGGGCTTGTTATTTTATTTTCGCCGAAGTCCGGGATCGCCAGAGGCAGTGGTGGGACGACAAACGGTACGACAAGCGAAGCGCTCAGAAGCTTGGAGAGAAATGCTTTAGTAGTCGACCTCACCCGCAAAGTATTGCGACGAGTCAGGGCGCCCGTTCTTTCTTCACACGTATACCTCCCGAAATCAGGCGCAGCATTCTTATTGAAGCTTTCGGGCAGCAAACTATTCATCTTGACCTCACCTTTTGGTGGAAGCCAGGATGGCGATCACCTACCTGGGTTTGGTTCAACTGGGTATGTCATAGTGACAAACCAGGCCAGCTTCACCCATGGAGATGGAAGACGAGGAGAGAAGGAATTGTCAATAACAGCCCGATATACGAGTCCGGCCCAAGAAATCCGCTCGATTGCCCAAGATCAGCCGGAGCTGCGGCGCCCCATCGTGGACGATGCCGTCGCAAGTGTCACGTTGGAGCATCCGGTTGGCTTCTATCTTGTAGACAGGCGTGAGTTTAAGGCCCTCTAGTCTCATTGTTGAACTAGTTTTTGATGAAGTGGGAAACTCTAATTGATGGGATAGAAACATCGAAGGACTCGAGGTTCTCTACAGCACCAATACCATTTGTATCGACTCGCCGATTCTTCTTAATGGCCTTCAGGATATTTTATCGCCAGAAAAACTCTCGCTGCTGACCTCTCTGGAAATCACTGTCACTCCTATACTTCATCCGGCTTACTTCTTCCAGGGCCTTTACGACGATTCTCGTCTAAAACATGGGTCTATCTTATTTCCCTCAATGAGACAGCTACACTTCGTCATTGACCATCATCAACGCTCTTCTTTGAATTATTATGGAATTGTCAGCTACCCTATTTTGTATGCCTTGGTTAAACGGCTAGTGTTTCCAGGAACCGAAGTCATCATTTCGTGCGGCGGCAAGCGAGAATATTTGGTTTATAGCGAACGCCCATATGGAGAATGTCAGTCATGTATGGCCTACTCGTTGGTATCGCTGCTAACTTCAATTTAGGTTGGGAGCCTGGAAGCACCTTATCATATGAGCTTTTGGAGTAAAATGATTAAAATAATCGATCATGGTGGTAGTATCGGCTATCTCTAAATTTAGCTGGTGTCTTCTTCGTCAAATTCTAAAGTTTGGACTTTGCTTCGCCTCGTGCCAATCTCATATGACTGGCAGTGAATGTGTCATTTGCAATCGCGGCCGCCGTGCTTATGTCCAGGGCCAGGGCAAATGATGCCATCAGACCAGCTAATTTCTCTTTGTCTTCTGGCTGATCGCATTGGACCATCCTCAGTGCTTCTCGTTGCGTGGGATTGCCGGTGCCTCCCCCGACAGTCGCAATGAGGATTGAGGGGAAGTACAGGCTCAGAGTCAAGACCTTGGTCTCCTCGTCGTACTCTGGGGTGAGGTCGCTCCATGCCGACTCTCCAACACTGGCAGCGTCTTGGCCCGTGGCTATGAACATGCCTGCCAGGACATTCGTGGTATTCACGTTGCTCCCGAACATGCCGTTTCTAATGCCGCCCTTGATGAGAGTCACCACCTGGTCGTTGAGACGTTTGGTTGTACACCCAAGGATGTTTTGACAGTCCTGGTCTGACACGGAACCCCAGGCCACTACTTCCACGCCTCTAGCATCTTTGACGTTGCCCCATGAAGGCTTCTTATCTGATGACAGATTTCCTTCCACAACCCAGTCTTTGATCGAGTACTTGTCTCCGTACAGACTTCTGAGCTGGTCGCAGGCGTGCTTGGTGGCCTTGGAGACCATGTTCTGTCCCGAGGCAGCGGCGCAGTGAAAGCTGCAGAAGAGGTGGACTTGGGAGCCAATGATGTGAGCTTTTGTTTTTTGGAGTTTTGCATACCGGCTCGTCGAAACGGCCCATTTGCCAAACTTCTCCTCGAGCGAAGGCCATTCTCGTGCGAATTTGACCGCTGATGCCGGATTCGCGAAGATAAACACGGGAGCACGGCTCATGCCCTGGGACAAGACGTCGAACTGAACGCCTCCGGAGGCACTGAAGGCCTTGCAACCGCGCGAGCAACTGGCCACTAGGGTAGCTTCTTGCGTTGCCAGCGGAGCATAGAAGCTGCCGTCGGCGTTTGGTCCCTTCACGCGGAGCGGCCCAGCGACTCCAAGGGGCACTTTTGTAAAGCCGATGCAGTTCTCGATCTTGATGGGATCGATCTGGCTGGCGGGGGCTGGAATATGTTCAAGGTCCCATCGGCTTGCAAGCTCGAGGGCCTTCTGGTTCCTTGACGTGCTCATGGTGAGGGGTTTTATGTGAGATCTGAATGTGCCAGATTATTGCACGTGGGTGTAGTCTTGTACGAACCGTGGGATGATCTAGCCATTTTATATATGGGATCAGCGATATCTCTCACATGTCGGAATACACCAAGAATGGCAACCACATCTGTCAAGCTGTAAAGGATCCGCGCACAACCTTGTTCCATGCAGCCGGGACTGCTTCTTTATTCCCCGTTTGCATACACAAACATGGAAACGTGCATGGCATGCACCCTGCTTCATGTCCCTGTCCGAGCCTTTGATTCGCTTTCTGAAGGGCAATTCGGTATCAGGCTTCGCGTTTGCCGAGATGCAATACACTGACACTGCACTTATGGAAATCCTTCCCACGTACTATATGCTCGGCATGTTAGCTCTCCTACATCCAATTGGTTAGTTTGGTCATTTCGACATGTTAGTCGGGAATAACAGGTTAGCTAAACTCGCGAGTCTAGCTGAAAAGACGAGAGTAGCCAAGAAGATACGGGCCAGCGGATCCTATATTCAATAACTAAGAACTAATATTCCCAATTTGGGCTATGAGCTCCGGGCGACGGACCCATTGAAGGATCTAGGGCAAGCTGAACTCACCCCCTGATGCGACGTTATCTGGTGGTAGTGATGCGACATATATGTGTTAAGCCGCATTTGTTTCTTTCTAGATAGAAGATCCTATGGTATGGATTCACCACCTTGTGGATGGGTGGAGTCGGTATTTGGCATTGGTGCGACGGCAGTTGTAGTATCTTGGATATGTGTTTGAGCGGCCCGGATACGAACCCTTTCCCGGTAAGAAACCTAAACGAAAACGGCAATGATTTTCCAGGCTGGCGTTCTTGCGCAAGTCGTGGTCCCGATTATGCGCATGCCCACCGGTCTTGTTCCGCCATGGCACCTTGGACACTTGAAGGTCGGGATGTCCAGGGGCACTGTTCAAGTTAGCAATTCGGCGAGTGGCTACGTGGGGGCTCAGACCCAGCTATCAGACCTCGGTACAGAGTTTCAGAAACATATATATTCCGGAAGATGCTTCTTATGAGAGTTGCCGGATTCGATGGACTCCGGTGCTGATCCCCGGCCAAGGCAAGGAGCGAATGCTCCGATTCTACCTGTGTTTGACTCTGGCAAGGTCGTGAAAAAGCACCACATCTTCATCCATCAATGTAGCTCATGCGTTCAGATCATTGCCATTGATGGCCAATTCTTGTCATTAAGCTTAAATGAAGTCTTTTTGGGATTGCGTAGGCTTAGGCTGTGCTTGTCAGCTAGTTGGTAGTTTTTATTTGTCTCATTCGAAGTTTGCGTCACTAATCCGTAGTATGCCGACTGTGTTGGATCAGAAATGCCAACACTTTGCTCCAGGGTGGTGAAATCAATGACCCTCGGAAGGGAAACTCTTTACTCCTAATCTGCCCATTCCGTGTATCTTCCAAGTGATGCGGTATGTATACTGCTTGGCACCATCATAGGCTTGGTAGGGTCAGTGCCATTTAAACTTTGCTAATCTTCATATATTTCTCATGCTCGATAAATAAAAATAGATAAAGATAGGAGTAGGAGGAAGGAATTGAAAACCCGCTTTTCCCGTCAGCCACTCCTGCAGCTACAATCCCGAGATTTATTGGCGAGCAATGGATTCGGGCTATGGTATAGGGTAGGTTGAGACGCGCGGGGTTCAATTCCGGGAGCCAGGTTGCGGAATCCCGGATCCCAGTTTTGGACTCCTATCCGGTAGCTATCATCCAGCTCGACGTTGTTCCGCATTCGCAGTGCGGAGTAATGGCAGACATTTCGCCTGAACATTTGAAGAGCGTGAGCTTGGTCAATTGAAAGAAAGCGAGAAAATGGGTTGATTTCAACTGTCTGAATTATTCGGATTGTGACCCTCTGTTGCCACTTCCGCGGCCAATTCCATGGCGAACTTCATGGCATCAGGCACCGCCCGAGTCAATGAACGCGCTATCGGCGACGTTGAGATGACTTTGAGCGCCCTACGGATCCACTGAGGGGCTATGGAGGAGCTATATCATCATAAAGATCAATCATGCCCAGGCGAGAGCATTTTGAACATTCATCAACTATTCGATTCTTCTCACTCTCCTACGAAAAGCCCAAGTCCTCACAACCCATCACCACCCACAATGGCATCCAGCGACAGCAGCGACAAGCGTACCGCGGTGAGCACCACGGCCGCGCCCCCTCCCCTCCCCCAGTTCTCCCAGGGCATCAACTACAACGGCCTCCTCTTCTGCAGCGGCTCCGTCGGCATGGACCCGGAGACCAAGACCCTCGTTGAGGGCAGCATCAAGGACCGCGCGCGCCAGTGCCTGCGCAACCTGTCGGCCGTGCTCGAGGCGGGAGGCAGCGGAATCGACCGCGTGCTCAAGGTCAACATCTACCTGACGGACATGGCCAACTTTGCCGCCACCAACGAGGCGTACGACGAGTTCTTCACGCAGGAGCCCAAGCCGGTGAGTCCTCCGCATTAATGTGAATTATCTGGGTGGCGACTAATCTGAGAATGATAGGCACGTACCTGCGTTGCCGTGCACCAGCTGCCGTTGGGCACGGACATTGAGATTGAGGCGGTTGGAGTCGCGGACAAGGATGTCAAGTCAAAGATCTGAGTGGAGGACAACAGGACGTGGACAACATCAGTAAAAAAAAATAAGAATAAAAGGTCAATTATATAAACAGCTATGGGCCTAAGGCCACTTCTGAAATGCAAGCAGCCCAAGAGTGATGGACGCCTGACCGGCATAGTACAACACCCAGACGGCATACTGCAGCGGCGCGCGGAACACCGACGACCTCGCGACGAGGAACTTGTCCGCGGCGAGGATGGCGTCCGATGTGGTGAACAGGAGCGCGCCGGTGACGATCTGGGCGTTGTCCATGGTCAGTGCGGCGAGGAACATGCCCAGGATGGCCACCGAGTAGGCGACGATGTGCACCTGCAGGCCGCGGGCGGCGACGCGCGAGACGAGCATGTAGTTGATGCCCGGGGCGAGGAGGGCCATGGCGGCGGCGAGGCTGGTGCGCCAGGACTCGGAGAGGATCAGATCGACACCGTGGCCGCGGGTGAAGAAGAGGCGGATGTAGAGGATGTGCGAGGAGAGGAAGCAGACGAGGGCGTAGAGGAAGGCCACGTCGCCCTCATCCCACGCGAGGAGGGCATCGCCGGCGGCACTGAATGCGAGGGCCGCGATCAGTCGTCGGGTCTGCGCACCGGCGACTGAGGCTGCGAAGGCTGCGAGGAGGGCGGTCGAGGCTGTCTTGGTGATGGTGCGAGGGAGACTGGGCGCGTTGCGTACGATGAGGAGGTAGAGAACCGCGTTGGCGATAGAGAGGCCGAGGATGGCAGAGGGCGTTGGTGGCAGCTGGGTAACGTATTCTACTGCAGCCTCCATGATGGCACGATTGATGTGATTTTGTTGGTGGTGGTCGAGGGAAGTCGAGTTGTTGGTGAGGAAGCTGGATTTTATGAGGAGCGCGTCAAATGGGAGGAGGAAAGCGTGAAGGGAGGAGACACGGTGGAGCCGAGGCAAGCGCAATCAGCCAGAGACAGAGAGACATTCACTTCAGCTCCAGCACTAGACTATCACATGGTACCTAGGTAAGGCCAACAACACCACGCTCTCTCATTCAAAAGACAGGTATGATGTGCATTGGCTAAATGCTGACAATCATGGAGATCACGACAATCCAAGCTGTTAGGCGCCCAGACTGGCAGTGTCCAATTTCTCTACCAACTCATCAACTTGACCCGACTCCTTGCCTACCACCGAGTCTGGACTGGGCAGCTCCGGTAGCAGCGATAGGGCATTCTCCAAAGTCGCATACTTCCGCGTGTACAATTCAGCGTCTTCGTTGAAATGCTTGCGATCCGTTAGATACGTCACAGCAATCTCAGGAACGAGCGGATCCTCCAGCCCCGGATCCGTCAGAATGGACAAGATCCCGAGCATGACGCCCCCAAAATGGAACCACGGAGACCATTCCTTCCCCAGGATATCCAAGCAAATATTCCCGTCCGAGTCAATGTTGGGATGGTACATCTTGGTCAAGAACTGGCATTTCGGAGCATAGAAAGGGTAATCGGCCGGTGGCGTGATTAGGACTGAGAAGACTCCTCCGGCATATGGCGACGAAGGCGGCCCTTCGAAGAACGCGAGAATGCTCTGATACGACGAGTCAAGGGCGGTCCCTGTAATCGCAGAATCCGTAATGAGCAGCTGGGAGAAATGTTTCAAGACCATCTTTGGGTGGCGAGCCTCATTGTCTGAAGGGGCCGCTGAAGGGAGGCGACTTCGGTAGTCTTCCAAAGCGCGACATAGCGGTTGAATGGCCGATCCGTAGGTCCTGGCGGTATTTGTATCAAAGGCGGGTTCCGGGATCTTCTGAGCCTTTGAGACCAAGTCTCTCATGAGCCTCCTGTTTTGAGGTAGCGGATCTTTCGTCTCATCACCCTTAAGTGGCTGCGACTCGTTTTCAGATCCTGACTCTTCGTTAGCGGTCGTATTTTCCGAGGCGTAATCTAAAACTCGATCCCCGAATGCATGGCTAGGCTGAGGGCTCTCGCGAAGCCCTGTGGTGGCGGCCACCAGTGTCTTTTCGTTCTCTGGACTTGGCTCTCGCGAATGAGGGGCCATCTTATCGTCTTTACCTTTTCTAGTTGATATTGAAGTAGCGTCCGTATGATTTTTCTTCTTTGCATCAGGAAGAAGAAGGGAAGGAAAACTCGATTGGATGTGCTTCCGTAAGAATTGTCTCACTGCCCAAATGTATGTAACGAAGAGTGGCGCAGCAACCCCCCAGAAGAGTGCCTTGAAATAAGCCTCGGAATCTGACATCGCTTGTTCTGGCGCTGTGTAGCTACAGTCCGTATATATTGAAATGTGTGAGCTGTGTGTGAGGGAAGAAGGGAAAAAATAGAAAACCTAAACAGTTGGAAAGGAAACACGGAGACGGAGACAAGGGAACGGAAACATAGGAACCTGAACATATATACCTGTTCCTCTCGAAAAAGGCAGAGAAAATGAATGAAAAACTTAAGGGTCATTCGAAAAGCTTAACAGGAGCTTCGCGCCCTGGTCTTGACTGCACAAATGCAATCACAAAGTTAGCTCACTGCCGTGACGCATTCACCGAGAAGCAATTGGCCGGATCGCGAAGACTTCATTTCAACCATTGGAGTCTTGCATGGCTATCGCGGTCTTTTGCTCCAAGACATGGTGTGGCACACCCGCGAAGCTTGCTTTCTATAGCTAATTCATTCAAACCTGCTCCCCAGGGATGGCGCCTGGTAAAATAATGTAGCCGGGACTCTATGATGAATGGCTGTCGTCTCTCAGCATCAAAGCGACCAGCTCACACAAACGGGGTGACAAGCCATCTCCCACAACAGTTCGACTGCCAGATTCATTGCGTGCCTGTGATTGGACAATAGTTTCTCCAATGTGTTCGTCAGATTAGCTGTCCATGCAAGTGCTGTCGATAGAGGTGAAACGAAGCACGATGCGTTTGCATCGATCGGCCAGCCGAGCTAGAAATCTATTTGAGGCGACCGTGCAGTAACGAACTGGCCTCCGAAATATGTTGTCTTTGTGTCTTTGGCCATCGCCCAGCTTCCTCTCTTCGTACGAGCTGAGTTTGATATCTCTCGCACTGCTGTCGTTTATCCGGCCGCCGCATCGAGTTTGTGACAAGCCGTTGGAAGGCTTAACGTGGCCCGTCAAGATCATCTACAAGAGGGGTTTGTACTGCTTGATCTGGGAGGAGGAGCCTTCAATATCTGGTCTATTGTGCCATCTTCCTTTTCATACGTTATGCAACGAGGATTTATGTAGATCGGCACATTGGCTCCAACTTGGTCTTGGAAATACGGCGGCTTTGGTTCCCAGCTGTGACATTCATGCTGCTTCGCGACAAATCCATTCACCTCGTCTCGGAACTTCTGGTCTTCTATCGTAGCGAAGGAAAATTTCTTGCCATAGTCAATGTAAAGGACTGGAAGATCAACTTTGGTGAGCCGTCGCCCAATCGTATCCATCATACTCAAGATCAAAGGTAAAGATAGCCAGCCGATTCCACTTCTAAATCGTCATAACCTTCGCGGAGCTTCCGATCGGGTCAGCGGCGAGGGTAGAGCATGCTGTGACCACCACATCAGCCGTTGGAACAAGATATCTGGGCGATTTCGTTCGGAGAAAGACAGCGACCCCGAGCCTTCTGGTCTCGAAGCGCGTCGGTAACACACTACAGCCGTTAGCTATGACGGTCGGGAGTATCGCATTCTCGGCTCACCTCGCTAAGGGGTATTCGCTGAAGTGACAACCTCTTGACGGCGGATCGAAATTTGGAACATAGAGAACATGGAGCGCGTCTGATACGTGCCGCTCCAAATGGCCTGGAAAACGTTGGGGTTTGAAGCCTCAGGCACCTATGCTCTAGGCAGCGACACTCACGAGCCCGTCTTCTGTAACTTACAGGTACTTCCGTAACTTATGGTTCTCTTCCGTAATTTTTATGATCTTTATGATTTCTCTCTGGTCAAGGGTTAGGGTTGCTGCAAAGTCAGAGGAAAGCATTTGGGACAGCACCTTAAAACATGCCCATTTCATTTGTTAGCAACTGAGATGGTGGTCGCAGGCCCCAAAAACACGTCCTCGGACGAATTTTATATGAGAAGATGATTTCTCGCAATATTTACTTAAGCATGAGTCATGCTTCTTACAATACCACAATGCCTACCCACTACATATTAATCCAATGCTCCTCCAACTCACAAATCCTGTCTACTTTTATCAGGCTCGTCTTGACGGCAAGTGAGCCGTCGGTGTGAAGCTTTCCAGAATTATCATTCAACATCCTTGCAGTCTTGGGCTGGTAAAAGCCCCTTTCTTTCTCAACCTCTCGTATTCCTTGTATTGAGATGTCGGGCATGACAGCTTTAATTGCTATTTTTTATATAATCGAACTCTCTCATCCCTATTTTTATCAGGGGGTCAAGAAGTCCGTCCATGATAGATTATTCAGAGGTGTACTTGGTCGCAGCATCTCCCTTGTTTGACTGTTTAGCGGCCCAAATGCGGAAGCGTTTGTTGGTCACGCCCGTATATGGATTGTTTGAGTAGGCAAACGGAGGCCGCGTTACATTTGGATAAGTCATTTGCTTCTGCCTAAAGGTACTTTTGATAGGTAGGGATTAATAATTGCCCGGCTGCAATACAACTCTAAAATTAATAAATACTTGATTCTTGATCTTGATTATTTCCATCAACTTTCTTCCCAACTATCATATTATCATCAAACAACCATCGCAAACTCCCTTGCCTGCGTCCGTCCCTTTGATTAGATCACCACAGACCCTTCCATCTTTCCAATTGGTCATGACTTCTTGGAAGGCTATTGATGGCCCTGGTTGGCATGAGCATGCAAAAACTCCCGTCGTTGATGGCAAGTACGTTGACCGTGAGACCGGGGAGATAAGGACGGCCGAGCCTCATAGCGCAGAGTACTTGGGACCTCCTGCTGTGGATATCATAATACAAGCCATACACGCTGATGTTACCCAGTGCGTGTATCGAGCATCTCGGCAGTACCCCATGGAGGCTCTATTGCACAATATCATGAGGGTCGTCAAGGAAAGGAACTTGGAGGTTGATTCCATCATGGCAACAACATATGCTATTCGGATAACACTGGCTGGTAATGTTACGACGGTTGACATGTTCTCGGCCGTTGCTGATGAGATGTCGAATGGTGTTTTTGACTTAAAGGAGTAATAATGTATGGGGGTTTGAGCAGGTCATAGTTTGAGACCTCAAGAACGGATAGCAATCTAACACTGAGCCGAGAAAATAGAATAAATTGGGGCGCAATGTGTGGCATTCAACAAGCGCATAGCAGTTGCTGATGGCAAGTTAGGTAAAGAATTGACCTAATGAACAGGAATTGTTTCACCTGGTTTACGATCATGATGCTTTCAATGAATATTGCCCATTGAGTTCCGTGATGCAATGCCAATACATACAGTCACCCTTTCCATGATGTCGGATATCTAGAGCTCTCTTTGTGTGATGAAGAGCATTTTTTTTGACCACATATTAGGTCGCGAGAGAGTATTACCACATACATCGAAGCATGTTCTTTTGAGCATGAAAAAGGGGCTCGCTCGGGCTATTGGAGATGTGTTGACGGTACTATCAGTACTTCTCCTCTATGTCTGGTGTGGGGGAACTTTATGACAGGTTTCTTTTTCATTTCGCTTTAGTATGATAAAACGCCGTGTATAATTGTACCAAGTGCCTCAAGGCCAATGCAGTGGAGAGGAATCCTTCTGATATCGCTCATTGATAACCGCCCGTCGAATATCTGTGTAGATTGCGAGTCTCTATCAAGCACCAAACATAAATAAGCGAGATACAACACGCTCCCAAAAGGGAATAACTTTATTGAGGAGGGAGGGTGTGATGCGGGGGAAAAGAATTGATTACGTGGGATGTGACACTTCCTCTTTACATACATCCGACAGCAATTGATATTTTTATGCCTGACAGTGTTATTTGAGTACAAGATAGGGAAACCGTACTTTTGCTGAGGGCTTTCTATACCCTTCATCTTGTCTGTGCGTTTCATGGTGCGTTGACTATTCCAAGAGCTAGTTGAGCCACATTATCCAATGCGCAGAGTGGTGGCGATGATGCGGTGGTCGGTGTGATCAAGCATCTCTCTTATTGGCCAAGTCTTACGCGCGGAGGATCAATACTATCCAGCTGCATGCGCAAAGTAGCCGCTCGTAGTCAAATGTGAGGTGGCTCACCTCACCGTGAGCTTTTGCCCAATTCAGCCGCACAGGGTCGCAGACCATCGTGGGTTGCTTCAAACAACATTGCGAGTTTGGACGGGGATGATGGCCAGCCAAAGCTAGATACTGTATGGGAAAAATCCTCATGTGCCTCCCAAACATCCCCTGATGACGGCATATACGATTGACGCTCATAATCATCCCGTGTCTGAGATCTAGACCATGCGAGGTGCTGACTTGGGCATTATGCTATAACCACATAGAGAATGATTGCATTTAGAGGGACAGTCTTTTTGCCAGAGACCAGTGTATTTAAACTCTAGGCGATCCCGATCCCGACGTTGGGATTAACAAGACAATAACCACTCAGTCATTCATCCGGAAATTTCTGATACAAAATACAAATCGCCCCAATGCATTCTCCTAGAATCCTATTCCTTGCCCTCGCCATCTTCGGTCTGCCTAAACTAGGCCTGGCTGGGGCATACGATGAGGACAATTCCCTTCAATTCATGAGCGAGCGTGACGGTACGTACAAAAGAAGAAGAGACTTCACGTCGAGAAATTGGCTCTGACGCATTGTACTTTCTACACTTAGACTTCTCGGGTGCCGAAATTCTAGAACTGGCTGCTAGGGATCGAGTTAGAGTCAAACATGGCTACGGAGGCAGAGCCAGGCCCGGCAAGCTGAGCAAACGTGCCGGAGAGCAATGCCGCCCGACCAAGGACTTCACGAGACCCGAAGAATGCAAAGATTGCGGAAGCCACGAATGCAGGTTTAATCCCCTTACTGGGAGATGTGTCTGGACAAGGGGAAGTCGGGGTGCGGGATGCAGGGGCTGCAAGTGCAAGAAATATGGTGACAAATAGTTATTAGATGGATGATTCTGAACGGAATTTTCCAGCGAACTGGTAGTGAAATCATCTCATAGTTGGCATTGGTGGCTGACTGGCGGTTTTGGATATGTGCGGAAGGTGGAGGGTGAGCGTGGTCTGTGGCGAGGGAGGATGTCTTGGTAGAACCATTAACTGGGAGCTCGCTTATATTTTAACGCTTTATGGGCTCTCAATTACGTCGAAGAGTCCATCAATGGAGATTAACATATGAATTCGAGCAATTTGCGAGGTTTGGAATTGATTTTGATTTTTTGGTCATACTCTTCCTATGGGATAAACACGATTGTCCACTTATTGTTTGTTAAGGCACTAGGTCCTCGTCGCTGCATACGGGTGTCTACATTTTTAAGAGAGATGAGACTGCATGGTGTCCGGGGAAATGTCACGCACAAAGGACAATTCCCATTTCTTTGGCCACGTAGAGAACTATGGGCTGGCCCTTGTCGACGAGAAGAAATACGATGATGCTGAGACGTATCTACGTCCAGCCTACGATGGTCTAAGGAAGCTCGAGCGAAAGAACTCACCCGCAGTGATTCGGGCGCGGCACAACGTCATCAACATTAAACTGGAAAAGAGCCTCTTGGCAGAAGCTGAAGCGGGACTCAAGAAGATGTTGACTGACTACAAAGGCAAGGTTGAGTTGGAAGACTGGGTGGGCCTCCGTCTGTCCTATGCAATGGCATGAAAGACCAGGGACGATTTTCGGATGCTTGGAAGGAACTTGAGGCCGCCTTGCGAGAGCTTTTTCACGAAATGAAATCAAATCTGAACGCCGACGCTGGTGTTTCTGCGGCTCCGGCTCGAACTTTTGTTTATGATGTTGCGCTGGGCTTGATGAATCTGAGCCGCCACCATGAAGCAGACAACTTATTTCGCCGTGTGATCAGCAACACCGATGAAATGCTGCAAAAGGCTGTCACAAGCAACGGAACAATATCAAACCTAATATCTACATGTACGGTTCTAGCTTCCGACATAAATGATACTAATAGCCAATACGGCGATGAACAGTTGATCTTTGATGCAGAATTCTGTTTAGGGCTATCATTGATTGAGCAGGAGCGATACGAGGCGGCCGCGACTGATTTCAGCCGGGTAAAGACAGACATGGACAGGCTGACATCTCTGGGCGAGTCAGACCCGCTCCTGAACTGTACCAACCGTACTTTGCTTTCAGAACAGAGGGCATTACCTTGTCAGCGTTTTTCTGTGTAGCATACGAAGAAGCAGAAGCAGGATTTCTCAGCATCTGTAATGAGTCCAAGGAGCTTGAGAACAAAACATGCTGTCCTCTGAGAATGGTCGGTGTGAAAGAAGGCCTTGCTATGGCCATGGGCGTGCAATTAAAGATAGGCAGGGAAGAATTGGAGGCGGCATTGAAATTTTCAAAGAAGCATTTTGGTTATCAACACCCGGAGCTATATACTACGTTTCACAGATTTAATATGGTCATGGAAAAACAAGCAGATATGGGGACAGCGACAGAGTGGTACTTGGGGGAATATCATGGTCGGTTGAAAACACTCTCGGAACACCACATTTTGACAAAACAGTCGGAGCGCACTTGGAGAGCCTGTTTGCGCTCAGAGAAGTAGTATGAAACTTAACCACGCATTTCATGCTCTAGAACATCCTATTATCGAAGAATAGACGATGAATCACATATGTCCATCTTAGCACAAGCTTTGAAGTCGAAGCCATAGTTCGTGAACACAGAATCAGCATGTTGCGCTTAAAGTGATTGTCGAATCACTTGTCATCTCATTTGAGGCTGTCACACTCCAGATAAAGCTTCTCGCGTATTTGCGGTGCTATGTATACTAACCTAACTTGAATTTGTTCACATTCTAGGGCTTGCGACCCGTTAAAAGTCTGACTTGTGTTAGAATTTGTCTCTCCATTTCTTCTCGATCGGAAGAGAGTTTTCTCAAGAAGCAGTTTATCTCTGCAAACAGGTCCAGTAGGTGACTTTTCTGTTCCGGATCTGCAAGCTCCAGCGTAAAATAGAGGCCGCGGGGCGTTGCAGCCGCGACGAATGGTTCGAGAGAGCGGAGGAACCTAATGTGCTTCCAAATATGAACACAGAGCTGTTTTAAATTCTGATACTGGGCGCCTGTATCTGACAACTGTTCCGCCACGCTCCAGTCATAGAGCATTCTGGAGAATCCCAGATGGAGACTCTGCATAGAGAGCAGTATTTGGGCGAGTGTCACACTCGAGAAGCTGTAGCTACTGCCCGCAATGGATTTTGCGTCCTTTTCTTCCGTTATCTCTCCTATCTGGATGAGCTTTTTCACCAAGGCGGTGATTCTTTCTTGCATATCCATGATAGTCTGTTGAAATTCCTTCTTCAATTCCGTGTTTCTTTCATCCTGGCCAAAACCAAGACCGGAAGTGCGGATCATCTGGACCAATGCTGGGAGTTTATTCGCCATGTCCTCACACTTGTGCATGGTTGACTTGAACTGTGGTCGTGCCTTTTCGTTCCGTATGCAGTACGAGAGGCTTTTCTCGATCGAACGCCTCCAATCAGGCTCATTCAGATTATTCTTCCAACCAGTTGCAACTGCATGTGGGACCTAGATACAGTTCGCTGGTTAGTGATGATGTGCTGACCCAAACGTAGAAAATTCTCTATGCGGCCGCAAAGACACAATTAGTGACGAAAGAAGCTAAATCGAAGCAGTCATACCATGATAATGTATATTTCCGCCATGAGTTGTGCCTGAAACTTGTCATTCGGCCTAGGCTTGCCGACTGCCGTCACCAAACTCGCGATTCCTTGTTGATGGAGAACCTTGTGGCGGCTGGGATTGAACACCTCTTCTGCGCGATGGAGAATCGTCGCGGATGCGAGTGTCTCCGTCGTGAAGGCCTGGTCACTCGACAAGGCCAGCCGAAGACTCCGGATAGCTTTGCCGTATTCTGGCAGGTTGATGAAGTCAACGACAGGTTTTTGGCGGCAATGGTCGGCCCAAACCCTATAGAATAAGCTGACACTGTCCCGCAGGCTTGGGTGCTGGGATAGGCGCTTGGGTACGTCCTTGAGATACCGGGTCTGGATGACGATACCGCGATCTGGGGCCGTCTTCAGATGACGGACAAGCTGCGCCGCAACGTGATCGGCAAGAGTGCTGGGCGCAGGCTGGGGCGTGTCGAGACGGATCTTTCCATCTATGGAATTCGGCTTGCGATCCGTAGCATTATGCCTGACTAACGGTGTTGGTCCAGGGCATGCTGCCCCTTTCCGTCGACAGGGTGAGCACGTCGGCCACTGCTGGTCACACTATTCTTGCAAAGTGGTTAGTTACTGCTCATCGTAGATAGGAGTAGAGAATGAACCACTTTTATTTTCCGGATCTTGCATATTGCACAGCCTCTTGACCTTGGTCCGGGCATGATGAGTCTGAGGTAGTCGGCTCGGGGCGAGGCGCTGCCTAGGAAAGAAGTACACTCTCAGGCCTCGCGGTGTAAGAATGTCACTCCGGGGGGTTTCTCTGTCGGCAACGGAGCGTGAACGTCTTGCGCGGCTTCTCTCGTGAGGTTGGGTGAGCATGAATGCCTGAGCCATCGTTGACCAGGTGGACCATATCATTTTTGTCCAGGGGTTGGTTTGACTAAGCAATTCCTTCTCAACTCAAGGTGACAATGATATACGCCGTCTCTTCTGCTTTAGTTACCTATTGGCAGCTGGTTCAGCGGATAGGGCGCAAGATACCGGCCCGTCTACTCAGTTCAGTTTCCTGTAGGACCTCACTAACTTGGAATATCATGTCCCAGAGTCTCAAATTCATCTACCAACACTGACCCGGCCGTCTCCACACTTGTAGGACAAAGCTCCCCTGTAATGAGAACAACGAGTGCCAAGTCGTGTGCGTGTGTGTGGACTTAAACAACCGATTTCAAAGGGATGACGTGTGAAAGTCTGCTCTTTGGTTCTTGACTAATACTTCCATAAAGCAAAGTATAACTGAATAGCGAGCTAAACTCCGTATGACTTGTCTTCGCGCTTAGAGCGGTGTTTCTTCTATGTCATCTCCGTTGCGGACGTAGCCGAGTTTGGGGTAGGGGTTCGGGTAGTGGCCGTTGGGGTTGTCTGAAGTCCATCTGGGGTAATCTGGATCCTTTGGTTGGTTAGCATAAGATTAGATCTCCCTGTGGCTGCTTGGAATTACATTGTCAAAAAACGGCATGCCGTCCCTTCCATCTTCGTACCAATCATCTTCTGAGAGATGTCGTCTCCTACACCAGGTGCATCTGATCGGATTGTCATTTTCAAGGGCCTTGCCGCATGTACACCAAAACTGATCACCATGCGATTAGAAATATGCACCGAGGTATTGCGCTCAAGAAAGCAAGGGAGAGGGTAAGATCTTACCGCTACCATAAATGCGTGGTCGATGATGGTGATGGATGGCCTGTACAGATCATCACTGCCCGAATCATCACTGTCCGAATCATCACTGTCCGAATCATCACTGTCGGAGTCCTCCTCGTCGAGGTCGCCAGAGTCTCTCTCCCGGCCACTCTTTGCAGCACGTCTCTCCCGATTACGCCTGCCAGGATCCTCGTTCTCTCCCGTCCCCAGATCATTCCAGTAGAATTCCTTCAGTGTGTGCTTGTTGCAATACTCGGTGTCAAAGTCATCCTCCTCTATTTTGCAGCGGGTGCAGATCCATCTCGCCCAAGGGTCGCAGTCGCATAACTCGTTGAGAAACTGCCCCTTTACTTCTTCTTCCACTGCAGGATCGCATTCGGGACACAGACACATGATGTTGCTGATCTGGCGCGCGGCGTCGATGTGCGGGCGCCTGGTCTTGTAAGACGGTTTGGCTCGGAGGTAGTATCTGCACTCCTCGCATACATTGATCCCGCACTTGACGCAGGGGAGAGCGCCGCCCTCGTCACATTTGGCGTTGTACAGCTTCACTTCAATCTCCTCGTCGCTGTGCAGGTGCGAGTTTCTTGTCCATTGCCCTGCTTCGAGGTCGGTGCGGTACGGGCGTTGGAAGTTCTGGCGCTTGACGAGGCCACGGCCGTCACAGAGGCAGAAGCGCCTGAGCTTCTTGAACAGAGTCGGCGAGCCGAGAATGTGCGAGTAGTGGGTGCGGTTTGTGAGCGCGAGGTGGTAGAGATCGACTGTTGACACCCAGGTCGCCAAGGTCGGTAGGATGGCGTACGATGAAATGAGGTCTGTCAGACCCGGGCGGGATGATGGTTCATCCATGGCTGACTTTCGTTGTCTTGAGAAGATTTGGTGAGGGTGCAAGAGCGACAGACAAATGACTCATGGTGTTGAGTCTTGGTTGTTTTGTGGATTGGTCTGTGCGGATTGATGGCACTTTCTAGCTAGAAAAGGCAGAATGTGGCGGTCAAATGGAGGACTGAGGATTCTCAAGTCGATCTTAGGAGCTAACAAGGACTAGCTTCTGGTCACTCGGCTGGAAATCACTATGCCTTTGTTTTCTCTTGTGCGGTGAACCTCCATCTGGAGTACTTTCGTCTTCAATTTCCCGCATTGTTTCTTGTAAGTCTGAGTTTGGCAAGTAAAAAACCTTGTGATGACTGAAGCAAGTTCTATCTGTTTGGCTTCGGAGCATTAAAATGAAGGTTCGCAAGTCTGCGTCACTTATCGATCAATCGATAAGCGATATGACGTATCTACAAACTGACATAGGAGGTACTCTTTATAGTGGTTCTTCAAACACCAACTTTGTGATATTCTGAAGTCAACGGCTTCGTATCCTCATTTGTTCCTGTTTTCAGTCTCAACTTGCCGAGGCGAACATTGGCAGCCTTGTACCCCGTTTCCAACTCCTCAATCTTCTCTTCAAATGACAAAGCGCCCATTTTGACAAGATATACATGCTGCGCCGTCCAAGAAGTCAGTACTGGAGGGCCGACAAAGACGCGAGCGACGGCAACGGCAATCGCCAGAACGCCTAGAACCAGGAACACGATGGCAGCAGGAGTGCGGCATCCTCTATATTCCCCTGTTCTCGTGCCAGCGTAGAACGGATAGTCCATAAAGTTGGCAGACCTCGAGCGCCAGCTGACCGCCCGGTTTTCTGTGCCAAAAGGCTCCTCATCGTTGCGAAGATGACGAATTTTAGGACCACCGATTACACTGAGGCCTTCAGACGCCCATCCTGCCATTACTGCACGGACAAAGGCCCCGACGCCCTCGCATACCGTTGCTTCCTCGCTGTAGATGATGGCATCCACCCAGTTGCGAAACAGCGGTAGCGATCCGTCACTATGTTCGGTCTGCGGGACCTCCTCATCGACAGAGAAGATACGGACCAGGTCGATTCCTCCTCTGGAGTCGCTCAATCCGGAGCACGAACTGCCAGATACGATGCGACTGACCTCGGCGACGGCATATCGGATGTTGTACGAGAGGCGGCGCTGCACCTTTGCGCGGATGGTCGATGTGGGATCACTGAACCAGGTCCCAAGTCTCGCCCACTGAATTTGAATCTGCCCCGGTTTCACGATCCGATACTCCACTACTGCTGGCCGAGGAGGGTCGCTGAACCAGCGCCATGATGATGTTCTTTGCCTTATCCAACCCTTGTCGTTGGCCCCCATGAAGGAATCGCCCTCCTCTTCTGTTAGATTGGCCACCATGACGACCTCCCTGGAGTAGATGTATCCTGAATCAACCCTGTTGAATAGTATACTACTGCATCTGGCCCACCCGGCCATGACAATGCTCAACGGCGGCTCCATCCCGGCTGCGTCTGTTTGCGAGGATGTGGCACTTCGGTTGAAATAAACGATCTCATGCTGGAAGGCTTGATTATTCGATCCTAACGGCGCGTCACTGAACCACGGACTGGGAGTTCCATCAGTTCCTAGTCCCCTACTTGGTGATAGCCGCAGCTCAAATAGACGGGGTTCGACTTGATCATAGGCGTAGGTGGTCACGTTGATGATACCAAACTTGTAGCCGATGGAGGCAGCAACTGAGGCCAGAACGATGAAGTAACGGAGAGTCGTAAAGGCCGGGAAGCCCCTCAGCCCGTAGACAACGGGCGCACGCGGCTGAGAATTGAGATAGCGACCATAGTCGAGGCCAGCATCCTTCATTGCCTGGCGACTACACCACCAGTCGAAAAGGTGGACATATGCCTCCCCAAAGCCATAGGAGAGAAGCCCGAAGGCGACGCCGACAATGGCTAACCATACTTGAAGGTGGTAATTGGCACCGAAATAGAAGCGAGACTCCTGCTCGTTTTTGGCAGGATTATCGAAGGCGCCATCTGGTGAGACGAGGCCGTTCACAGCCACCAAGGTTAGAATGGCTCCCCCAGAGAACAGAGCGAAAAGCGATGAAATGCCTAATCGTCGCAATCGTGTGATGATGCCGGTTCTCTCCATCTTATGATTGCTGCTAGAGCATTCGCTATCCAAGGAAACTCTGAAAGATGGTCGATGGAGGGGATTGGGTCAGTCAAGAAAGGCTACTCTTCTTGATGCCAATAATGCAGAAACTTGAGGGCTTTGAGGTCAACACCCTCAACCGCTACCAGGATCACTTTTTCGCTAGTTTCATCAAACTTGCAGGTTGGCGTTCTTGGCTTCCCAATTCAAGAATAGGCAGCCTCACTCTCATCTTTTGGGCTGATGGCCAGCTGACAGGTTGCAGCGCGCTACTTGACGCCACCATCATCTCTTGGGCTCAGCCGCAGCAATTTTCCAAATATGGGCGGTTCCTATTGATTATGCTTCTTTTTCCTGCTAACCTTCCTAGACGTTTGGTGAGTCGTTAGGTTAAATCGAGCTGACGCAGTAGAAAACTCGAGTCCACTACAGCTTGATACCCCTCTCGTTTCGTTTGATCATTAGTCCGATATTGACACTTTGGGCATCCGTCACTGGCGAGATCAAAAGGCAGCGCTGAAATAAGGGCACCATAAACTAGACAATGGAACATAGGGATGAAGGCTATCTTTCCCAGGAGCCTTGTAACTCTACCTGAATAACAGCGCACTGAGCGTTGTACAGGCATCAACGACCGTCAGCAAGCAGGTGTGATAACGTTGAGAGACTGACGTAGGATTATTCACGCATTGGATCGGTCGAGGCATTCATCAAAGAGGACGGTGTGGACCACGCGCCATTGCCCGAGACAGAGTTGGCCAACGACGATGTGCAGGATCTGATTCGGTCAGTCCTCATCCCCTGGCGATTGCAGAAGCTGCCCGCAATCGCAGAGCCCCATGTGACGCGCCAAAGGGCCTCTCAAACGGATTTGTCGTTCTGCGCACATAATCTGGTCGAGGTTCAGAGGATGATGAGATGGTGAGGCAGTGGCTCAAAGTAGCCAATCCCTACGACGAGAGGTTTCGTTATCCTCACGAGAGACGATGGCAGATTCCCGATGACGTGGAGCGTTTTGACGTGGGGGACGGGGAATTGGCAGATCGTCTATGGGATCCTCCCCGAACTCGTTGCTTCCCTCAGCGACCGCGTCTTTGGCCCCAAGCAAATTCAAGATGTCAGGGACACGGCGGCTGAGATCTGGAAGGGGGAGAGCGGGAACCACAGGATGATAATTTTGAAGACCTCATTATGGAAGCTGCCAGCGTGGACACCTGGCTGCTCGTGGCAGACCAACAAGGCTTTGAGGAAGGGCAGCTGAGACTTGTGTATCGGGACGGGAATGGTTATATCGTCAAAGAAGGAACAATTAAGCGGGAGGATGTGCAGACGATGGTGATATGAAACATCCGGGGGTTCTATCAGAGTCGGAATTCTGGACTGATACAAACGCAGGACCAAAGTATAGGTCACGAGGTCGGATCATGCGCAGGGTGTTACCTGCAGTGATGGGCGGCGAGGACTGAACTGATCCATGTAATATACTTTATATGATAAAACGGCACCTGATATTAGGCAGTTGAAGACAATAATTACATACAGGGTACTCTGGAAAGTCTATCCACAAGACCTAAACGATGGAAATCTGACGAGAACTAGTAAGTGATGCCTTCGGAAGGGTTGTTCAGACGACAAAGCCACAGCCTTGTTGCTACACTTCCTTCCCAGAGCTTGTGGCTAGGCAGTTTCTGGAAAATTTACCCCCCATCAGAAGAAAGCCACATCTCTCTTATACAGGGCCTCGAAAACAAGCCTCTATCTTCCACAGGTCGTAAAATACCCAGTATGACACTGGATTGGAGACCAGTAGGAGGTTGTGCCTATGTAAATTTTAGAAGCGAGTCTCAGGCGTTCATGTGGAAGACATGGTTCAATCTGCTTCTTCCTCTCGACGATCTGGCCGGCGGCTCCAGATGTCGTCAATGGCAGGCCTCGTGTTATCCAAATCAACACCTTGCTTCATTCTCGTTCGCCTTTCATCCACCCAATGCTTCCATTCCTGGTACTTCGGCAATTTATCTGGAGCCTCGAGGGCCAGATGACATGCTCCCCAGTTCTGTAGCCTGTCTTCCATATCGATCTTCCAAACCTGTTTCCCGTCCAGCATGAATATGAACGAACCGATGATGTGTTCGTACATCATCATTCCGATGTGTGGTAGATAGGTTTGATAGCCCGGGTTCAGGATCCGTTCTAGAAGCGCTGTCATGCCCGTCACCAGTCGATTCTCAGGTGATCGCGGTTTCTCTCCATCCTTTTGCCAATAGCTTCGACGGCCGTGGCTAGTCTGGGATTTCTCATCGCCCGTCAGCGTGTTGTTTTGGCCCGAGGCCTTGGTGGCCGAAATAACGTTGATGACGATGCGATTGACTACATATTTGGGGGCAAAATTGGGGTCATCTTCATGATGGCTGCGGCTGCGGTCCAAAAAGCCCGGTCCACGATTGAATAGTGTTGAGAGTAGCCCCTCGAGGTAAGTCAAGAGGACGCTTCTGCAATTCCAGCTAAGGCTGGTATCTGATTCGTCTAGTATATGACCTGGCAGAGCTGGGGGGTCATCTGATATTCTTAAGATCGTGTAGACTGAGTTGATGTAGGGCGTTTGTGGCAGAGCCGGGATAGACCATGTTGGCCAAAGGCCTAGACCCTTAACATACACAATGTCAACTGAATAGTCGCTGGTGCGTCGGTGCTGGAGAAATCGGGTGACTTCCGCGTTGACTTGTTTGTTGACTTGGAGTAGAGACAGAGAAGGATTTATCTGACGAGACCAGGCATCACGAGTGTGATTACCTTGGCGATTCTCAGGGATTGGTTGCGGAAGACAGGCAGAAGACAGATAGTTTCGATATTGCAGAGCCTGGCGGTCTTCCTGGTCTAGGGCTGGTGATGCAGGTGGCACAATTACAGTCTCGATGACCAAGCGGTAGATTTCGTTCCTGAGCTCTAGAGGCAGCAAGAGCAGCAAAGGCTTACAATCGATCGTCGAGGGGTCCATGGTATTATCGAAAGTATTATATATGGCGGGGATATGGTAGGGGTTGGTTTTTCGATTCCGGTGTGTTTGACTTGAAGGTGCGTGGGTGTGGGTGAGTGAGTTGTGACGAGCTTTTGGTTGGTGTGTTGTGTCAACATCGAAACGCGCTATCTAATCACAAAGCATCAAAGTACAAAGCAACTAATCAAGGAGAATCTAATCACAAAGCATCGAATCACAAAGCATGTCAGCACGAGCCCCTCTGATATCACTGCTTTTTTATCGGCAAGCTGCACTACCGAATTACAATTCCAACTCATGCTTGACTTCTTTCTGGTAAGCTCCATAACTTCAATATTAGGAATTTCACTGGAATACCTAGTGGCTTGCTGAAAATTTTCCGAATGTGCTGACAGCATAGTAACTCCCTTATTAAGGTTACCAGTCCTGTCACACCGACGGAAGAGCTCTCCTTCTCTCACACTCCACTTCTCTTTCTGTTTCACATCCTTGACATCATGAGTCTTCAATAGGACTTCCATCGATTATGTAGTTGGTTCCCCTCTTGCAATGTGACTAGGACTCTATGGACCTCGATTGTTACTCCTCATGATCTTCGCGAAGCTCTTCGAGTAGGGGATGTTCTAATAGCTGCTTGGCAGTCTTCCTCTTCTCAGGCAACCACTGGAGCATGCCAGAAGCAAGATCGAGAAAACCTCCTTCTCATCGCCAGCCAGTTCTGTCACAGTGTCTGCCAACTTCATCCCTTCCCTAAGCAAGTCCTTGCGGAGAATTTGGCCTGAGATAAGGTAACGCGTAAGTTCTTCCAATCTTATTCGTGATAAGCGTTCTGGTGCTTCGCCATATGACTTACCGTCGTCGTCGAAAAAGGGCCCCCCCCAAAATTCGTTCATCGTCTTGGACTCCTTGCCGCGTAGGTTCATGACTGGCCTCTCGAGATGGTGTGTACGCGAAATTCGCTCCCTCTGGATCACTTCCTCGGGTGGATTTCCCAGGAGAGAAACCATCTGAGCAAGGTGGACGTGTGCATCGTATTCGCCGTCCTCGCCAGCAGGCCGCCCGAACAGGCTGATGTTTTCCAGCAGATTCCACATCTATTATAGAGGTAATGTGACTTAGGAGGTTATGGTACAAAATGCACGCGAGAGAGAGTTTACTCACAAGAAGGCCGAAATTCCAGATATCAACACTGTATGACCAGGGGCAGCCGAGCAGCACCTCTGGGGCCCGGAAGCGGTGAGATTGGATGGGGGAAAGATGGCCCCGGCCGCCATCAAGTCCGGGAAAGCAGAGATTGAAATCAGCTAGCTCCGGAAACAGCTGAGGGCCCCGCAAAGGTCCAAACTCATCTTGTGAGAGGTAGGTCACACGGCCATCCTCGCTTCGGATATGCCTCGGCTGGGGGACACTCGTTTGGTAATTGACATAGTCGGCTAAGAGAGTGTCATTCTCAAGTGTCATCATGATGTTCTCATCCTTGATGTCTGGCGGGTTGTGAGTAGCGGTATGGTCATTAGAGGTTCTTCGATCCCTTACCTGTATGGATGGGATGGCACTCAGTATGCAAAAAATCCAAAGCGCGAAGGAGACAGTAGATGTAAGCCTCGAAAAACGGTGGCTCTATTCTGTGCCGCTCCCATCGTCGCTGAAACCGAAGCAGAGTCTCCCTCATCGGCATGTACACGAGACAAAGGTGTGTTCCTTCCGGTCCTTGCAAGTGAAACTCATCTATGGGCGTCCGAATGAATGCGAGACCATCGTGCGAGCGTTTGGCATCAGCGATAATCTTTGAATTCTTCGTCTCCCCAGATGCATCGGTATTGAGAGCGGCAATTTTTATACTGACGAAACGAGGAATCAAGGATTTCGTCCCTTTTTCGCTGGTGTGAATGTCAGAAAAGGGGACTAATGAGAAAGTCGGAGTGGAAAAGCGTACAATTTGAGATTTTCAGCCAGCCAAACAGTAGAAGCACCGCCAAACCCGAGCTTGGAAATCGTCTTGAACCTGCCATTCAGTATCTCGCCTGGGTGAGTCGGGCGGAAGCATCTAACTTGATGGCTTGGAAACAACTCCTCCTCGATAGGTTCATCAATTTCATGAGCCACTGATCTGAGGTGAGAAGCAGAGAAATGTCGGTTGTACAAAGCTGGCAATCCCCAGGCCCGTTTCTGCGTGAGAAATTGCAGATTTCCAATCGTGAGTGTCTTTGCCATCTTCAGAAAAGTGCGCCCCTGATTAATTGGGCATAAGTCCATTCGTGCGTTTGCAGTGGGCAATACGCCTTCAAAGTCTGACGACGACACTCTGTTCTGTTTGTGTCAGGCGGCGAATTATTCGTTCGTGTGAAAACCACTATACCGCCACTCTGATGCTAACGCGTTGTCATTACGTCGTCATTTTCGTTTGATATCTCGAAAAGCATCGAACAGCCTTGGGTATCGGTAGGGACGTCACAATTGGGCTCTTCGTGGATGTACGGAGTAAGGTAGGTTTGCTCGTGACAAATGATGTTTCCTAGAGCAGCCAGATTTAGCTTTGTATTTCCGATGTTCTCCCGTCAGTCTTTTAGTGCAATCACCTCGCCAAAGAGAAAGCTATGTCATAATTTAATAATTGGGATTATATAAATACCGAGGGAGTAGCTAGGATAAAACTTAGCATTATCACGGAATTATTACCAAAAAAAAAAAA